AAAATCAGCTATGAGTTCTTCCCAAGCATCACAAAGCCTCCATATCATCCGCATTGGCCAAAAAAAAAAAAAAAAGGTCAGAAAGCCCTTGCATGCAATTCACCAGCACAAGGTTACCACTGGACAGAATTATGGAGCACAAACCAAATGACTCCTCCAAAGTAATTTGGTATGTCAAGATTACTTCATAAACTACCTCAGTGTACATGGGTTGGGAATAAAAATGAATGCAACAAGGTATTAAATAGCTATTACAACTACACACTACTCACACACATAACCAGCATATACTGATCGCCATTTAAAATTATTCTAATACAAAATGATAAATGATTTTACAACATAACTGTTTATACCACATTTAAAATAATGTTGTTGGACCTTGTGGTGAAGGGTGGGTATTAAATAAACAAATAAAGTAAAACAATAGGTAAAAGGGTGTTGGGTTGTTGTTGCTTTTACATATCAACAAGTATACAAACTGCCAAAAAATTATTCATATAGATGAAAATTATTTTGCTAAATTCACCCCACACACCAAATAGAAAATTTACTAAAGGCACAAAGTAGGATGGTGTTCACAGTCATCTCATATTTACTGCAATGTAGAAACATTGGAGGGTATCTTTTGTTGTTCAAGACGAGATCACATTTTACCATCTTCAGATTAGCAGAATGAAAGGGAACAGTTATTTTAACTGAGTTGCTACAAGGATGGCAACAGAAAATGGACATGGCTTTTTGGTTGCTGTCCTTTTGGGGCATCATGTGTGGGGAAATGAGGGAGGGAGCGATTCTAGTAAGAATTGTGTGGGAAGAGGGATGGAACAGTAAATTCTGGCCCTCCTGGTAGGCGAGAGACACTTATCAGAAAGAATGCTTGTAGCCAGCATTCAGGACAGGGGCGCAGACGTCCAGGCGTCTAGCTATGGTGGATAAAAAGTTTAAATGGAAACTCTTGAATCTGTCTAGTGTGGAAACACATTCGAGGGAAGGTTGTTTATAGTGCTACTATGATGAATGAAGTAGCGAAGAATGAGCATGGAGTAGCTCCTAGAATATTTAATTATAATTTATGTCTTGGTAGGTTTAGAGGTTTACTATTTTACTGGTAAACTCTGTTATCCATTAAAATGTTTATGAATTATGAAATGACCCTGAAGTACCCAATGTCATAGCTGGTGATGTGTTTGCTGTGGAGTTAGTTTCAGTTCATGCAATCAGCTGATGTGGACAAGGTACTTGCGGCTATACAGTTGTCTATGTGCCCTCTTGACTCCTGCCCTGCCTGGTTTATTAAATCTATCAGAGAGGGGTTGCCTGGTTGGGTCCAGAGTGTGGTTAACACTTTACTGCACAACAGGGGTGATGACTGTTGGTTTGAAAGTGGCAGTGGTGTGACCACCCCTAAAGACACCAGCCCTGGACTCGTTGGACTAGAATAACTATAGACCAGTCACAAATATCCATTTCTTGTGCAAGGTGGAGGAGAGTTGCAGTGGGGCAGCTGTAAGCATTCTTAGATGACACAGTTTGTTTTGATAGGGCAAGCAGGTTGTCTCCTGCTTCTCAGTCTCTCTGCAGCTTTTGACCCCAAGGACCATGGCATCATGCTGGACCAGCTCCATGAAATGGGAATTGAGGGCAGTGCATTATAGTGGTTCTGGTCCTAATTTTAAGAATGAATTTAGTTTGCGTGTGTCCAACTGACACACGAATGCTGGCGTGCGGGACCTTCTGGACCCAGAAGTGGGCAGAAAGTAGGCAGAATGAGGGTTGGAATGGGGTGTAATGTGGGCGGTCTTATGTAGTCTTATGGCTGATGTGTCTAAGGTTGATGTGCAAGGTTGAGGATAAGCAAGGTACAGCAAATATCAACATGTTTCAGGAAATATTTTGCAATTACTAAGAGATATCAGAGACCTATAGGGACCTATATCAGAGACCTATATCTTCTGACCTATGGGTCAGAAGATAAACCAAAATTATTCACAAAAGTATATTTTAAATATTTTAAGCATTTATTTGCCTTTTAAAGATTTAATAATTCAGTTAACTAAGCTCAGCAGTGGAGAGAACAAGTGGGACATGCAATGGTGCAGTCTATCCCCATTCCCTAGGAGAGCTCCAGCTAGCCTGGGACAGGAGCCTTGTAGTGCTGTTGAGGACTAGGGGAGGGGGCAGTTTGAGGAGGTGCAAAGGAAAACATGGCACTCTGAAGGCTTGCAGCTACAGGGTTCTGGTTAGCATGAGGAATGCACAAAGTGGAAAGGTTTAACCCTTCCTTTTTCAGAAGCAATTGCATTGAAAATTTCTGTGTCCCATGTAAATAAGAAGCCCGCATATGCTTTCTAAACAATTGTGTTTATTTACAATCTTTTTACCCTGCCACTGAAAAGCTTTCTAGAACATCTTGCATAATATCCAGACAAACAAGCTTGTTCATGCCCACAGACTTACAACCTATAAAGACGCTTTCCCCTATAGAAGTATGTCCCCTCCCACAGGGCAGAAGAAAGAGTTGCCCATAGAAAACAATGGAGAAATCCAAGAATTTCGCTTAGGCAGCACATTTGTCATGCCAAAGCAGAATCAATACCAACCATGACAACAGTTCCTATCTTTGGCATTCAGTGTGAACCCAGGAGTCTCCTATCCCTGTAAGAGATTCGTTTCTGTACAGTTTTCTTTTATTTATGCCCTCAATATTCCGTAAGTCTTGGAAGATCCTAAGTTGGTGCTGGTCTTTTTCTAAAAATGTTTTTCTTCATGTTTTCTACTTGTATGTACAGGAGACTCCCCACTTACGCAGGGGTTATGTTCTGGGCCTCCGCACGCATCAGTGAAATGCACATAAGTGGGGAGGACCCTGGAGAGTCCTAGAGGCTTGTTGAAGCTGCTCAGCTGATGCAGCATTTAGATCAGAGGTGACTAACATCTGTCCCTCCAGATGTTGTGCTACAACTCCCATCATCTCTAACCACTGGTCATGCTGGCTAGGGTTGCTGGAAGTTGTAGGTGAGCAACATCTAGAGGGCCACAGGTTAGCCAATTTAGATAAAAATACAGCAAGTATATATGCATTGGACACTGTTGAGTTTTTACCATTGAAAAGCAAAAACGCAATGGGCTCTTAGCATCCCATAGCCACCAACTGGAAAGCTTGAAGCCAAGACTGCCACCAAGAGGTATAAAAGAGAATTCTTTTTAAAAGGCAGTGGCAATGTGGAACAATACTGATATGGTTTATAACTTAAAATTTGCACTATGGAAGATTTTTGTAATCTATTACCTATTGAAATTAGCGGGAATACCTTTTTCTATAGTACTTTTCTTAAGTAGCATCAGTTTGTGTCTTAATCTACCTTGCTTTTGATTGGTTGGCTTCTCCTCTCTAATTTGATGTAGAACTCTCAAATCTCTCTTTAAACTCTTCCTTTTTTGTGCTCTGTAGAGCTCCTTTACTCTTGGTCCCCTTTTCTTTACTTTCACTTCCTGCTTTACCATTGGCAAACCTGAAACTGATTCACTTTCTCTGTCCAATATGCCACCTTCAAATCTAGTTAACTCATTTTTCCCCTGCAGTTTTCCTTGAAGTCCTGCAGCCTTATCTTTTCTAGACAATTAAACCTCTTCTATCTAACATGCTGGGACGCGGGTGGCGCTGTGGGTAAAACCGCAGCGCCTAGGACTTGCCGATCGCATGGTCGGCGGTTCGAATCCCCGCGGCAGGGTGCGCTCCCGTCGTTCGGTCCCAGCGCCTGCCAACCTAGCAGTTCGAAAGCACCCTCGGGTGCAAGTAGATAAATAGGGACAGCTTATCAGCGGGAAGGTAAACGGCGTTCCGTGTGCTGCGCTGGCTCGCCAGATGCAGCTTGTCACGCTGGCCACGTGACCCGGAAGTGTCTGCAGACAGCGCTGGCTCCCGGCCTATAGAGTGAGATGAGCGCACAACCCTAGAGTCTGGCAAGACTGGCCCGTACGGGCAGGGGTACCTTTACCTTTACCTTTATCTAACATGCTATACTTATTTCCAAGTTCTTATTTTTTCCTTCACCTTGTCTTACTTGCTTGAGAAGCCTCCTGAGCATAAATATTGCCATTTAAAAGTGCTGTGTAGCATCTACCTCACACCAGGAACTAAATAAAAGTGAAATAATGGCTATACACAGGGCCCACTTACTGAACACAATGTGTTCCCAGGAAATCATCTGTAAGGCGGGTGTTTGCATAATGAGCTGACAATTTCAATGATTTCCTATGGGAACAATTCTACTTTGTGATCTTTTCCCCTTCCCCCATCATGGTTTGTTCCTAAAATGGCTATAGCCAACCGGCAAAAGAAAGACAAAGAAAAAAACTGATTTGTCCCATCTCTCTTTCTAGTTCCTCTCTCATACATATGAAAGAATGAGAAAATGGTTGCCACTGACCAACAAACCACAAACAAATAAGGAACGAAGGAAGGGAGGGAGGGAGGAAGGAAAGGGGCAAACTCTGGCTGTTTGGCTATCTGAATCTGCAGTGTGTATAGTGAGGTTTGGGCAAAACTCTTCATGTTCAGATAAGTGAATTTTCACATAATGAATGGACAGATTGCAGGACCTGCATGAAATAGAAAGAGACATCCAGAAGCCATTTTTGATGGAAAACTCCAAGTCATTCAGTTTTCATTAGAAACCAAAGAGATAGTGGCTTGGATCTCAATTTGCCATGCACCAGTAGGAATGTCCCATACACAGTGCCAGCAAAACAAAAGAAAACAACTAGCATAGATTCCCCCTGCAGCTCTTTGCTGCATCACACCATCATACTGTGGTAGATTGGGAGAACCTCCAGAAAAGGGGGAGTAGGTTGGAGGGGAAGGGAAGAACTGGTAAATCCCACCAGGGGTTCTTCCACAGGGTCTCAAGCCATACTGTGGCTCGGGATCCAAACCTTAGAAAGCATGTTTAATTAATGCAGTTCAGTTTTCAGAACAAGAAATATAGTATTTGTACCTGATCTTTACTAGTTAATCCAATATGCATGACAAGATAAAAGTGCATCAGGTAGTCAGGATTTGGCACAAAATCTTGGCGCCTAGCCATCATAGCACATATCAGTTTGTAGGCTTGAAGCTTCCCTTCCTTATAGTCATCTGATAAGGTGGTAGCCTAAAATAAAAGAGTATGTTTTGTGAATAAGACAGCTTCTAAATAATCAGAACATGAGTACTGTATTACAATATATGAAACAAAGACAACTGTTCAAGACATCCTTCTCAAGATGATAAAGGGCACATTTTAAGTTACATTTTCTATGATTTGGAACTTTTATGGAACTTAACATCAACATTTCTCACCCACAAACAAAATAGCTTTGATCCAGCAAAGGCCTCAGCTAATAGAAGGTGAGGGTTGCAATTTTCAGATATTCTTCCTCCACTGCAGCTCCGGGAAGACTGCTCTAAAGGAATGAGGGACCCTTTGGAAAAACATAGGAGTGTGTGGCTGCAGTGGAGAGAGAGAATCAGCAAAAATGGCAGCTGCCCTTCCATCCATAGAAGCCTCCCGGAATCAAAGAACTTTCCATGAAGAGAACAGCACAAATGCATATAATCCATTGTTAGGTTTGATAATTAACGTTTTGTATTATAAATAAAATACCAACACTAAGGAAGGGAAGTTGAGGACAGAACAACACACTTTATTATAAAAATAGTAGATTAAAGCTTAAGTGCAACTTAATATATTCTTATTTACATCCCAATTAACCAATTAATTTGCACATCACAGGCTGGTTGCACAGAATTCACTAAATTACTGTAGATGCTGACTCTGCTTTCATTACAGGACTTCAGGCATCATTCAAACAGGGCACAAGGGAACAGTCTCCTCTTTCTCCATAATGTGAAGAGAGCGATGTGCACTCCTGAAGTTTACTCAAAAATCCTCAATACAGAGTAGTGGTCACATGTAGGCTTCTGTCACTGAAATAGCAGCCCTTGTGAACTTTTTGTATTTAGGTCAAATCCAAACTAATGAATATATATAAAAAAGTTTCAACATACATTCAGATACAAAAGAATTTTAAAGGCTTATGCTGATGTTATGTTTAGATTTGTATAGTCAGTACAGTGGTACTACTGGTTACATACTTAATTCGTTCTGGAGGTCCATTCTTAACCTGAAACTGTTCTTAACCTGAAGTACCATTTTAAGCTAATGGGGCCTCCCGCTGCTGCTGTGCTGCCACCACGCGATTTCTGTTCTCATCCTGAAGCAAAGTTCTTAATCCGAGGTACTATTTCTGGGTTAGTGGAGTCTGTAACCTGAAGCATATGTAACCTGAAGTGTATGTAACCCGAGGTACCACTGTATAGCTACATGTACATTAAAGGTAAGGTAAAGGGTAAAGAGACCCCTGACCATTAGGTTTAGTCGTGACCGACTCTGGGGTTGCGGCGCTCATCTTGCTTTATTGGCCGAGGGAGCCAGCATACAACTTCCGGGTCATGTGGCCAGCATGACTAAGCCGCTTCTGGCGAACCAGAGTAGCGCACGGAAACGCCGTTTACCTTCCCGCTGGAGCGGTACCTATTTATCTAGTTGCACTTTGACGTGCTTTCAAACTGCTAGGTTGGCAGGGACTGAGCAAGGGGAGCTCACCCTGTCGCGGGGCTTCGAACTGCCGACCTTCTGATCGGCAAGTCCTAGGCTCTGTGGTTTAACCCACAGCGCCACCCGCATCCCAACATTAGAGGTAGCTACAAAATTAACATAGTAAGGCATTCCTTCCTCCATGTTTAAAAAGCAATTTGGGAGTTTAGAAGACTGAAGGTAAACAAAAGCAGGATACAAATGAGATTGGTCCAGACCAAGGGGCATGAAAAACTTACCTTGAACAACCACGATGCAAATATTCTGAGTGGAGGAATTAAAGTAGGAGGAGAGGGAGTGGATTGGTTATCCAGACTGATAGCAAGATTGTCCCTTATCTAAATAAATAAATAGATAGATAGTAAGACATACACAATCTTGATGAGCTAAAGTGAATAGTTTTTCCTTCTTAACCTCTTCAGATAGGATCTTTCTTTTCTGATTGTTTTGGAAAATCCCAAACTAAAGAAGGCCCTTTTCTCATCAATAATCTGTGATGCATGAAGTTTGAAACTGAAGCGGCTGTTGTAATGCTTCTCCTTTCCTTTGGAAAGTCCCAATAGGTTATCAGGTTGCCTTGCAGGATGCCCACAGTATTTGGTTGACGCCTGTGAGAACAGGATGATGGGCTAGACAAGCCTCGAGTCTCATTCACTAGGGCTCTTCTTATGTTCTTACCTCCTGAGGTATATAGTGGGGCTGCCCTGGGTTACACAGCACACTGAATCATGAGCTTGCTAATCTCAGTTTCAGATTAGTATGGAATTTGTTACTGTCGTCCAACTAATTTGAACAGATAACTTTTGTACAAATTTCCTTCCTATCTCAAAACAACGGAAACATTATTGAATTTCTGAGGGCTTACAAATTAGGGTTGGTACAGTCGGGAACATTATTTACAAGCACACTTCATCCCAGTACCATTCATATGTTTAAATATTAAAATCTTCACTATGGTCTCAATGGGTAGTTGAAAATAAGCTTTTAAACATTTAACATACAATATTCATAAGATTTTAGACAGATTCATTAGCATTTCCGAAAAACGCATTGTAAACTTTGTATGAGAAATTGTTTTGGCAAAAATGGAACTCTACAATGCCATCTGGTGCCACAGTGTTATAATACATATAAAAAGGTAAAGGACCCGACTGTTAGGCCCAGTCACAGACGACTCTGGGGTTGGGGTGCTCATCTCGCTTTACTGGCTGAGGGAGCCGGCGTACAGCTTTCGGGTCATGTGGCCAGCATGACTAATCCGCTTCTGGCGAACCAGAGCAGCGCACGGAAACGCCACTTACCTTTGACGTGCTTTGACCTTGCAAGTTCCCTCCAGGGTCAGGGGGAAAGGCCTTCACTCGCAGTTTGTCTAGGTACCTGGTTCTCACTCTGGCATGGAATGTGGGAGGCAGGGAGGTGCTGAGTGCAAAAGCACTCCGCCTGTCAATAACCCTCCTACCCGCCATTAAGAAGCAGAGGTTCTTCTGTTAATTAGTTTATTTTGGACTAATGTACAGAGCTCACCCTGTCGCAGGGATTCAAAGTGCCGACCTTCTGATCGGCAAGCCCTAGGCTCTGTAGTTTAACCCACAGCGCCACCCACATAACACATATAAAATGCTTTTTCTTTACCAATCTATCTGAGTCCACAGATTAAACAGTTACGGTATTTCCTGTTCTATTTATTTTAGCATCTCACATTAGTCTACTAACTCTCCATTAGACAAAGTCTATAGTAGCAAACCTTACCTTTGCTAATTTGTACCATAGCGCAAAGAGATACTCAAAAACTCTGGCGTGTATTTTAGGACACTGGATGCTGTTCACATCTCCAAGAATTCCCAATATTCTTCGCCATAACACAGCAGCAGAATCAGGATGCCAGCCTATGAGATTCCCACCAGCAATTATACTGCAATCATCAGCAAGAAACTCACTGCTGTCTAGAAGAGAAAATTATTTGTTATTAATTACTAGCAAAATACCCAAGTGTGTCCTAAAAGGAGGACTTTCGTACAGGAGGGCTGGTGCATCTCAGTGTGAATAAAAACATCCCACCTTCCACACAGGATCTTTGCCACTGCAGGCTGGATGCCCAGTGGTCTGATTCACATGTAACACTAAGTCAAACTATGGCTTAAGCAACAATGAGCAAGCATGTGTGTACGCAAAAGGCTGTGGCTGCTTTACTCCTCTCCAGATCCTACTACTACCAGGCATACGGGGCAACCATATTTTTCTCCATACAGTTACTTAGGAAGAAACTGTACGTTAGCTTCCTGCAAGCATTTTAAAATAGCTTTAAAAAGAAAGAATTAGCTCCTTTCCTGCTTATGCTAATGTGGGATGGAATGCTGGAAATCACAGGCATTTGCAGGCTGCTTTTTGGGGTAGTGGTGGGAATAAATACTCCAAATAAATAAATACTTAGGCTTCCAGTTCCGGTGCCTTAAAGGAGACAGCTCCCACGGCAGTGGGAGATCATTGGTGAAGAAAAAACAAGGATAATTGCGGGTAATTATCCTTGCAAGTTCCCTCCAGGGTCAGGGGGAAAGGCCTTCACTCGCAGTTTGTCTAGGTACCTGGCTCTCACTCTGGCATGGAATGTGGGAGGCAGGGAGGTGCTGAGTGCAAAAGCACTCCGCCTGTCAATAACCCTCCTACCTGCCATTAAGAAGCAGAGGTTCTTCTGTTAATTAGTTTATTTTGGACTAATGTACAGACGCGTTCTAGAAGAGATGAGATCATAAACTGCGGAACTGAAGCAGCTACAAGGTCTTTAAGGTTTGAATTTGAAAGATGTGTAAAAGACAGTGTGGGGGGAGGGGAGCCTACAGCTTCTTTATATAAAGTTTTCTTTTTTACATTTATGATTCAGCAACCCTCCCTCGAATGTTAAATCAATTTCTGCAAAGAGCAAGTGAAGAAAGAGGAAACTGGACTGCAGATATGAAATACAACATTAAACAGAACTGTGTGCGCAAAAAACTCAATTAACATTAAAAGGACTAAGAATTTAATTTAATTGGACTATGCTAATTATCACTTTGTGAGTATGGAATCTGAAAAGTATGTGCTATTTATCTTTGGCTGAACAGAGGAATGAAAGGAGCCTGGAAACTTGCCAAGGGCACCGGCAGTATAACAAATCACTCCTCTTCCTAGGCTGGGAGGAAAAATGGCGAAAACAGGTTACTGACTGGGATAGAGTGACTTTGCAGCTATTGCTAAAGTTGCAAAACAAAGAAGCACGGGACTGAGTGAGGGAGAAATTTAATTGGACTGTGTTAATTATCATTTTGCGAGTATGGAATCTGGAAGGGATTGAGTAAGGGAGAAATTTCTGGAACAACATTGGGATATCAGGTCTGCTCAAGGAATGAGAGATTGCAGCAACAACTGGAGAAAGATTGACATACAAGGACAGGAAGAAACATCATGGACGGAATAAATGTCACACACAGGAAGAAGAACAATGATACAGTATGAGATGTTCACTTGTAAATTACTTAATGTATCAACACAAATAGAAGTTATAAATATTGCAGCTGTTGTATAAAGGATTACTATTATGACGGGAATGTGATTGAAACCAATAAGATTTTGGAACGCAGAAACAAAGTAAATCACCATCAATTCTAGCATGTGGGGGGCCCACCTAAATTATATAATTTGGTATTTGAATGATTTGTATTAGGAATTGTATTATAATTTGGCATTGTTATAATGAGGCTATTATTGGATTATTGTAATTGAAAAACTAATAAAAATCATCATAATAAATAAATAAATAGCATCTGGAAACAGATATACATTTCTGGTAGATACAGAGAGCCAGTGTGCCTAATGGTTATGAGTGTTGGATCTGGGAGACCAGGGTTCAAATCTCAGCCATGAAGCTCACTGGGTGACCTTGGGCCAGTCGCCATCTCTTAGCCTAACCCACCTCACAGGGTTGTTGTGAGGATGAGATAGGAAGGAGAAAAATATACACCACATTGAGTTCCATGGAAGAAAAAGGTACATGTAATAAATAAATAAATAATAAATATTAGATATAGCGACTGAGAGGTGAAGAGGCCTAAGTAGACCAGGCTTTGGAGAAAATTATATTCCAAGTCTACTTGCTGCTGGTTCTCAACAGGTAAACCTGCTGTCCCTCTACAGGTGGACCTGGCACCTGTATGTCTCCTCTACACACCACTGAAACCCTCTGTTATTTCCCTGCCTTTTGTCGCCTCCTCTAGCCCTTAATTAACTGCACTGCTGCTACTACCTTCACAGCCCCCTCCCCACTACATTTCCCTAAAAAAAGCCAACTCTCCCACTCCAAAATGGCAGGTTATCTACACTGCATTATCATCCACAACTAACCTTCTTCCTTCAAAAAGTGGGTATTATAAAACTGGATTACTTTGCAGCCACAGTCCTGCTCCATGTAGTATGGGTATAATAATGATGGACTTTATTTGTCCTGACAATTACATAAATGTGTGATAATGGTCAATTTGTGAAATTAATCAAGTTTCCCCATTAAGCCAAATTTCCTTCTGAGTGTCCAGCATTGTCAATGAAATCAGTACAGCAGCAGTTCGGGTTACGTTACCATCAGGTACCCTCAGGTAACGTAAACTTCAGGTTGTGAAAGCGGCAAACCTGGAAGTGTTCCCCCACGCACATGCGCAAAGTGGTCTACCGCTTCTCCTCGGGTTGCAAAAACCCCGGGATGCGGCTGGACCTCTGGAATGGATCCTGTTCACAACCGGAGGTATGTTATTGAAGGTTTGGCACATATGACTCCAACTATCCATTTTCATCCTATAATAATTTCAGCCTATAATAATTTCCAGCACATGTCCTATTTAACATGACTTGTTCACTCAAAAGCAAAGTGATTTACACAAAACAATTTGTTCTCAAAAGGCACACATCTCTTTAGGAGTACATTTTCACTCACATCAACACTTACATTTCTAAGTCTAACACAAAATTAATGTTATTCTAGAAGAAATCAAAAGCCACACAGATAACAAGGGGCAATAAAACTGACTTCATCACAGCTACAGTACTTACTAGAACAAAAAGCACAGGAAATCTTGAAGAGCAGAACAGCTTGTTTTTCTACTGATGCACTTATTTGTCAGAAAATTTCTCAGACTTGCTTACTTATCTATTTAAAACATTTTCCCACTCTGGTTCTTGGCCAAATTGTCTCCCATAGCAGCTTACAAAAACGAACTGTATACAGACCCCGCCTTTAGGCTTACAAGCTAAAGACTTGAAATTAGTGGGTATTCAGCACCCTCTAGTGCTAGAAAAGCAACTAGTCATGAAATCCAATACAGTCATGATACCAGCAGCACAACTCAGACAATAAAGGTCAAGAATTGTCTTACCCTCCTCAGAGCACCAACCTTCTGAGAGCTTTTGTCTATTACATAGGGAGGACCATAAGGAGTCTCTAGTGTGTCTAGAACAGCTATGTGGCTCAAGAGTGAATGTACACAGGTAGGAAAATATATTGCTCCCAAACAGCAGCAGTCCAGTCTGGTGCAGCTCAACCAGTTGTCTTGTGTGTTGGACGTCTCCTACTGAGACACTTAGGAGAGTTGGTCCTCTGCCCAGAGTAGGAATAATGTGATCTCCTGCTGTAGATCTGCTGATTTGGTCCCACCTTCCCTGTTGATATAGGAGTGAACATTTGTGTTGTCCATTCTGATTAGGATGCAATAGATGGGCATGCTGTGGAAAAAGGGCTGAGTGGCCAGACATACTGCTTTAAGGTCAAGCCAGTTGATGATGTGCTGTGTGAATCGACGGGTGTCCAGTCTGCCTGGAACAGTCACCCCTTGCAGGCTGGCATCCAATGTTATGGTGATCTTTAGGGGACCTCTGAGGGGGATTTCTTTTCCATGGGTTAGCATCCCTTGTCCACCAGAACATGGTCTCTCATAGCTGTGGAGGCATCAAGACATAGTGGTGCTTGCTGTGAATGTGACCACTGGTGTAGAAGAAGGAACCACTGGAGTGGTCTCACATGAAGCTTGGCCCACAGAATGACTCGTGAGGCTGATATGTATAGATCCAGGATACAAGCCTAGTATGATGTCCATCCTATTGGAGGACATCAGGAGCTTAGTTGCTGCCTTGATTGAAAGGACTAGCAGGCCCTGGGTAGTATCTACCAGTGCACCAATATGTATGAGGAGGAGGTGGCTGTTATCCTTGTTGATGAGGAATCTGTGAGTTTGGCGGGTCCTCATAGTGTTCTGAAGATGTGTTTGCCCTAGAGGGGGAGGTGAGCCACCAGGGCAACTATTATCTTCATGAAGACTCTCAGAGATCAGGCCAATCTGAACAGGAGGGCCCTGAATGGTGAGGGCCAGGCATAGGCAAACTTGGCCCTCCAGATGTTTTGGTACTACAACTCCCATCATCCCTCACCATCGGTCCTTAGCTAGGGATGATGGGAGTTGTAGTCCCAAAACACCTGGAGGGCCGAGTTTGCCTATGCCTGGTGTGGGCCAATGAAGAGTCGAAGACACTTGTGGTACTTGGGCTGAATAGGAATGTGAAGGTATGCATCCTGTAAGTCTGTGGAAATCATGCAGTCATTGAGATGAAGGGACTGCTTGATACGTCCTAGGGAATTCATCTGGATTTTTGGGGGTAGATCACTCAGCTGTTGAGATATTTCAGACTGAGTACTGCCCTCCAGGCTTTGTGATCTTTTTTGAGAACTACAAAGAAAATCGAATAGGTGCCTAACAAGTGTTCTTCTGCAGGTACTGGCTCTATTGCTGCCATACTGATGAGATGCTGGACACATTCCCTCACAATCTGGGATTTGGACGGGGATGCAGAGAGGAGTGATGAACTGAGCTTGAGGGTGAATGATGAATTCTATGCAGTCACCATAGGACCCATTGAGCCATCATTGAGTGCTGCCAAATATGTATGAATGCTTTTAGGCAACTTCCCAACTTGATTGCTAATGGCATCATTGGTGTCTTGGGGGGTTCTTGGGAGGGGTGGAGATGTTGAACTTGTTTCCCTGTTGACCTTTTGGAGAAAAACATGGCTGGTTTCAGGTTTGTTTTGGCTTGAGTTCCTTCGGTCTGCCTTGCTGCCTGTAGTGACAAATGACTGATTTGTCGGAGAAGCACCGTTCCTCCTGTTGGGTTACGATAACTTTTCTTTTATCTTTAGAGTCAAGAAGAAAGTCTTTGAGTGTTTCTTCATCGAATAGCATTGATCCATGGAAAAACACTATGGAGAGGTTGATTAGGGAAGTCTGCTTACCACTGTTTAAGCAATAAGGTACTGTGTGCTATGACACCTGCCACCATGGAGCATGCTGAAAACTGTGATGTACCCATGGTGGCATCTGCCATGAATACTGCCTCCCTAGGTATCTTGAGTAGGGTGCGGCAGATGTACACAGGATCCTGTTCTGGAGTTGAGAGAAAATCCTTCACTCATGCATGAGATGCATGAGCAAATGATCACAACAAGACTCTTATGCCAGATCTCAGCACCTTAGATCTCCTCACCACCATGGATCCTATTACTACCTTATTACTACCTTATGTTTCTGAACCCTACCTCTTAATTTCCTCTTTGATAGTCTAAGCAGTTCCTAATGACCTGATCTTATGGGTGGAAATGTGGCTTCCCTTAATTTCTTCTTCCAGGTAGGAACCTTCTTTTTATAATATTTTTATTAAGTTTTTGTTAAAAATACAAATAAAATTCCAATACACATTATAAAAAAAACTTTTCTATTTTCTATTTCCTAACCCATTTTCTGTTGTTGTTCTCTCCCCCTAAATAGGGTACTGAGAAATTCAGCAAAGATGGGTGGGGTGGTGAAAATACCAACTTCAATGTGCATGGAAGGAATAAGCATGTCTAATATCTCCCTTTACCTATACACATTTTGCATAAGGGCAGTAATTTCTCAAACTGATTCCTAGAGCAAAAGAGTGCTCTTACAGAAAGCCTAATGTGATTTACCTTTCCCCAGTACACTTTTCATTAATATATATAACTTACCTTCTGCCACACAAATTCCTGCTCCAAAGAGTTTGGCTTTCTAAAACTGTACATTTTATGAAGTCTAACATTATCAACTCAAGAAACCATACATGGGTGTACATATCTGTGGTGTGTGCGTGTGTGTGTTATACAAACCACCACACATACACACAACACACTTCCTTGAGCATACATACCTGTTAAATTTGTGACACCTGAAGGACTCAGATGCAACCACTGGCACGCATCAGGATCAACACAAATATCAGCTGGGATATTGACATCAGGGTTTTCTTCACATGCTTGCCAGGGAGCTAATGTGATATCTACTTCATTATTGTATCCAATGGAGGTATCACTGCTAACACTTTCACCTACATAGCCAAAAGTGATGAGTAAAACAGTCATTTGAAAGAAGACATTTTTAAAACATAAGCATACACAATAGTGACACCAGCATATTGTACCACAAATCACTAGGAAAGCAATAAACACCTCTTTTACTGAAACTCACTCTGTTCTCCTTCTCTGGGACTTCCATATGATTGTTGCATGTCTGCTTTGAGATCTAATTGAGATGGAGGGTTGCTTGCCTGTGTGGAAAAAAATACAGGAAATTGTTTGGACTACAATTTATTTTCTTATCAAATTGTCTCAAATTAATGGATGCATGTACTTCCAGGTAACTGCTCAAAACACTTGCAGATTAAGGGCTGGAACACATTATTTGGAGGACAGCAGTTGTGGCTAGCACCAGCTTTTCCCCCCTTTTTGTGAGTTGGGCAGGGGGTTGAGTGTATGCGTGGCAGCAGTAGCAGCTGGTGGGGCTGTGTGGGTGGTTGGAGGCACAGTCTTGGGAGCACTGGCTTGGCTTCACTGCTGTGTCACACTGTGTGGTGCTCCTGCTGCCCTCCCCCTCCTCTTGGCAATCAACAGCAACACTAATTGTTGGGAAAGTCAGGAGACCAAGAGCTCTGGTGAACTCAAAATCAGGCACACTATTTTGTGCTATTTTGGTTGACTTAATGAAGACATTGCCCTAATAAGGATTTTTTCTCATGGCCCAAACAGGGGTACCTTTACTTTTTAATGCACATTAAAACTTACTTCTTGGGCTGTACTTTCCTTGTTCATGGACCTCTCAGTTCCTTGAACACATTCAGCATCCAAAGTTAAGTTCTGTGAGCTTTCTGTTTTTCTAACTGTGAAATGGAAAGTAATATTTTAATTCTTTAAAAAATACTTCATTCAAATATTGGGATTATCAGTTAACAAATAAATATGACATGCTAATCAAGCCATTGTGTCAGCTATGCACTTAAGACTATTTTATTCTAATTTCAATCCTCATGCACAAGATATTAGCATACCCTGGCAATCCAAAGTTTGCTTAAGTACAAAAAGCTATTTAGGGTGGAAAACCCTAATGGAGGTGGGGGAGAGTAATGAAAACAGACTAATGCGGATTAACTATGCTCAGTGGGTATGGAATGCTGACCAACTATTGAGGGACAGCACAGAAGCTTGGGTAGGAGGGGCAATGAAATTGAGGGGCTTGGAATGGAGGAGAGATGATAAAAAGGAAAAATGGTGGAGAGAACCTTGTCATTGTCATCATTATCCATTATATTGGATAATATTTCATAGAATCATAAAATTGTAGAGTTGGAAGTCCATCTAGTCTAACCCTCTGCAAGTCTTTGTTTACACTATTTTTAAATGTTTTCAGGGATGAAAGAGAGCTGCCCACAGCAATCAATGAAGAAATCCAAAATTGTCATGTAGCTTCAAATGATTTACAACAACTCTTTTGTGTTGTCTAGTGCCATTGGGCACCTCTTGTACATTGAGATTGGGCTGAAGCTTAGAGAATCCAACAATCTTGTGATGTTATCCATTGCTTTAATCCCTACATTGCAGGCTGAGTTGAGAGAATAATATGCAGCAACCCTGCACTGCAGTTCACTTGTATATCCCGACTGCACGTTGGAGTGAACAGGTTAGCACTGCAACATATTCCACTATTAGTTAACATTGTGGCCCAGAGGGGAAGCTGAGACAAGTTTTGATTCCCAGCCAAAAATCCCCTATACCTCTCAGGTTGCAGCAAAGGTCAATCTGCTTATTTTGTCCCCTCAGACCTCCTCCTCCATCAAACCAAACATTTGGTTGCATCCAAAATCTCCATGCTGCCTTGACTTGCATGCAGACTGGTTGTACTTTGAAACATTCAAAAACTATTTTTAAAATGTGCATGAATATGACTCAAGTTACTTCTGGGACTCCTATCCAACACTATCTTCAGACGCCCTCTCCTTATAGCCACAGACTCATGTGGTACAAGGGCAACATTTTGCTGCAGGCCCCACTTGCAATCCATTATTTAGCAAACCTCTCATAAAAAGTCTGGGTTACATATACAATATTATTAAGAGGAGGTAAACTATACTTAAATGAAATGCTTTTTGGTGGGGGGAGGGCTAGAAGCGAGTAGGAATGCAAAAGCATTTTATTCTGCCTTAATTTTATTCTCCCAAACTAATACACTGATGGGAAAATAAAAGCATTATTTGGGCCTCAAGTTTCTCCAGATTTTACATTAGAGCTCACAGCTCCAAAAAGCACCAAAGTAATTTTTAAAACACACACACACACACACACACACACCCTGTAAACCACGCAGAGTGGCTGGGGAAACCCAACCAGATGGGCAGGATATACAGTGGTACCTCGGGTTAAGTACTTAATTCATTTTGGAGGTCCGTTCTTAACCTGAAACTGTTCTTAACCTGAAGCACCACTTTAGCTAATAGAGCCTCTTGATGCCGCCACGTGATTTCTGTTCTCATCCTGAAGCAAAGTTCTTAACCTGAAGCACCACTTTAGCTAATGGGACCTCCTGCTGCCACCGCGCGATTTCTGTTCTCATCCTGAAGCAAAGTTCTTAACCTGAGGTACTATTTCTGGGTTAGCGGAGTCTTTAACCTGAAGTGTATATAACCCGAGGTACCACTGTATATAAAACAACAACAACAACTAGACAAAATGTGCTTGGAAATGAGTTAAAAAATAGATTAATGCAAAAACAGGATGGAACAGAGTTATGAATGAACATGTGAAACTGGCTGGTCCATCCATCCCTGGGGAGGGAGGGGTGCCACAAAACAGCCTATTAAGGGATAAGCACAATGTTTTCACTTTTTTGTAAATAAGGAAAATAAACATGGAATACACTTGCAAATTGTTTTAACATCATAGCTGCTTTGGTTCGCCAGAAGCTGCTTAGTCATGCTGGCCACATGTCCCAGCTGTACGCCGGCTCCCTCGGCCAATAAAGTGAGATGAGCGCCGCAACCCCAGAGTCGGTCACGACTGGACCTAACGGTCAGGGGTCCCTTTACCTTTACCATAGCTGACGCTAGTTAATTATAAACCAAATAGTCAACATTAACTAAATTATTACATTATTTGTTGCATTAATATTAAAACGTTTCAGATTTTTTTTGGCTTTAACCCTTTATATTTGTATTCCTCTCATGTCTTGAAACACTAGTTACCTAAAATGATATGACCACCAAAATTATTGAACATGGGATTAAAGGGATTCATAAACTCTATAGCATGATTTGCTGAAACTTGTACAGCTTATTCATTGTAAATTGAGAGCATACTCCCCCTCCCCAACATAGGCTGCAAGTGCAGACAAGTCCTCCTGAATTCAGTGGGGTTTACTTCCACGTTTGTGATCATGGGGTATAAACAGACAGACAGACAGACTGGACTATACTAAAGCAGTTGATCGGTATTGTTGCAATGTAACAGACTAAAACTAATCTTCTTGCAAAGTTACCATTATAAGATATATTTTTATTACACAGTGAACATTGTGGTGAAAAATCACAGTTGTTGCCTTTTAAGAATTCTATTATACAACAGGAATAGTGACAAATTCATGGAGCTATGAGAACACAGCACTTGCTATTGTTGCACAAAACATTTCAAACCAAAACAAGAACTAACTTCCTCATTGAGGCAGTTCTTATTACTTCTAAATTACCTTGGAAAACATCAGAATTACTTTGGTCTCTAATATCCGAGGTGCTACTACTTCGAGTTAATTGTTCTTGGTGTGAAAATGTGCCATTACATTCTGTTCCTTCTATATTTTCTGGCTGGTGATATTCAAGTCCTGTTCCATTTTCTGACTGTTGATATTCTTCAGCTTCTGTAGGTATTGGTACAAAACTATTTCAGTCATATGCCAATTACAAATGCCCATGCCTATAGCATCAATAACGTTGTGAGACATTAAAATCATTAATACATTTGTACCTCATTATTAATTAGCAGAGAAAACAAAATAAAATGTTAACTATTAGGACTGATCTAACATGAATTTGGGAATCCTAGCTAATAGTTCTCTGCTTAAAATTATGGGAAGGGGTGTGATTTCAAGGCTAGAAAGGGTATGAGGAAAAGAGTTAACACATCTATTTGGATGCTGCTTCTTTCCTTCATATCAAGTTCCCTATTTATAGTGGAAAAACAGAGCTGTGTAGTGTCTTTCACAACCTAAGTTTTGCTTTATTGCTTTAATAATCAGGGTGTTTTGAGTGAGTATACTCTGTGGTAATCCCCCAGTCTCTTAAAATCTGCACTCTCAATAACGTGCTGAGAAAGTGAATTCTGCAACCTATTTAAATTATGTTTTTTGAGCAAATTTGTATACATTTCTTCAGTTTGCATCATTTATTCTCCTACTGTTGCTCATGGGGAGGTGCAAAGAACCAAGCAGAACACTGATCTGCAATGTAAAACTTGTAACTTAAAGATTACTTTCAGGGATTATTATTCATATATATAAATAATATAATAATTATATTATTTAAAAATAATATCTAGAAGCTATTTCGCTTTTGCCGTGGCTCAATCACATTAACATGCACTGATATTTCTACCAAATATAAGCATGATTAGAAGAAGAAGAGTTTGGATTTGATATCCCGCCTTTCACTCCCCTTCAGGAGTCTCAAAGCGGCTCACATTCTCCTTTCCCTTCCTCCCCCACAACAAACACTCTGTGAGGTGAGTGGGGCTGAGAGACTTCAGAGAAGTGTGACTGGCCCAAGGTCACCCAGCAGCTGCAGGTGGAGGAGCGGAGACGCGAACCCGGTTCCCCAGATTACAAGACTCCCGCTCTTAACCACTACACCACACTGGCTCTTAGAGGAGTCCAGAATCTTAAAATATTTTCCTTTCCACCTGAACGGTTTCACCCCAATGTTTCAGCTTGATATCTCATCTAGCTATTTGAAGTTTAAGTGTTGGAGTCTCAGAAAATTCATCAGCATAAGATATGGTGGCATAGATTGAAATTGAAATATGAAGTTTTGGATTCATCTGGTTCAAGGCACAATTTGATTTGTGAACCCCACTTTAACCCCGTGTTCTGTCTCATATGTATTTTGAATGCAGGGGGGAAATCCGTATTTCTGGAGTATGAGGTAATTAACAACAACAAACAGGAACTGTAGCAAATGTTTCCTTGGCCTAACATGTATATCCCAAAGAAGGTAGTTCCCCAACTTTGGAGGTTTTCATTTCCTTTAGTATTTTTGGTTTATGCTGGTAAGTACAAAGTACTTTTTATTTTCTTCTTCCTTTATTTTTCTTATTATACTAGTTTAGCTAAGATAAAAAGGTAAAGGTACCCCTGCCCGTACGGGCCAGTCTTGACAGACTCTAGGGTTGTGCGCCCATCTCACTCTATAGGCCGTGGGCCAGCGCTGTCCGGAGACACTTCCGGGTCACGTGGCCAGCGTGACATCGCTGCTCTGGCGAGCCAGAGCCGCACACGGAAACGCCGTTTACCTTCCCGCTAGTAAGCGGTCCCTATTTATCTACTTGCACCCGGGGGTGCTTTCGAACTGCTAGGTTGGCAGGCGCTGGGACCGAACGACGGGAGCGCACCCCGCCGCGGGGATTCGAACCGCCGACCTTTCGATCGGCAAGCCCTAGGCGCTGAGGCTTTTACCCACAGCGCCACCCGCGTCCCTTAGCTAAGATACCTTCCCTCAATTTACTATTTTGTCATCTTTGTATGTGTTTTCTTTAACTGGGCAAGCGGCCTGATAACTACGCTAATAGGCTATGCTATGTTAACATTTTTCTCTTGTGGGAATGCTACTTTATAATTTTGCAAGTTTCATAAAACCTTTAAATGTAATTCCCATTGTCATTCACATACTCAAATTCAATAGCCTGTGATCAAACAAAAATCTTTGTCAAATCTATATTAAAGAAGGACCTGAGTTACAAAACTGCTTTGCCACTTTGCCATCAACAGATTTAGGAAGTGCCATAGATGCAGCAATTCCAACAACTCCAGTGCACTTACGTTTCAGCTGATTAGAAAGTCAGCTTAATTTTTAGGATTCTTACAAAGCAAAACATAACTCCACACAACTAACAACAAAAAATTGTCATGAAGACTTGAGATATGGAAATGACTGTACATGAAGATGGAGGCACATACAATAGCAAGAATGGGTGTATTTTAATTAAAATTGACCTAAAGAGGTCAAATATACAACAGACTTCATGGTCATAGATTCTTACACTTATTAGAAGTCAAATTCTTAGGTTTGCTAAAATTGTAGAGACAGTAGAGTTCATTACACAGAAGAACTTCTTTGAACACCAGTTTTCCTTGGTGGCGCTGTGGTCTAAACCACTGAGCTTAGGGCTTGCCGATCAGAAGGTGGGCAGTTCGAATCCCCGCAACGGGGTGAGCTCCCGTTGCTCGGTCCCTGCTCCTGACAACTAGGAGTTCGAAAGCACATCAAAGTGCAAGTAGATAAATAGGTACTGCTCCGGCAGGAAGGTAAACGGTGTTTCCGTGCGCTGCTCTGGTTCGCCAGAAGCGGCTTAGTCATGCTGGCCACATGACTCGGACAAACGGCAGCTCCCTCGGCCTATAGAGCGAGATGAGCGCCGCAACCCCAGAGTCGGCCACGACTGGACTTAACTGTCAGGGGTCCCTTTACCTTTACCTTTTCCCCCCTTGGAAAATCCACCCACACAGTCAATACACAAATGTCACCAAATGAACGTGAAGGTGGAGGGAATGAAGAGTCAGTCATAATGCACATCTTAAAAGCAGAACTGGTGCAGTTGAGATTGTTCAAGAACAGGGGAACCAGGAGGAATTAACAAGGAACCCTGAGAACATGAAAGCTGCGCTACAGAATTTGGAACGTTAGGTGACAGATACTTGCATTTTGGGTAGAACTATGATATTACACACTACTATTTTTGACCAAAATACAATAATAGAAATATAGTTGAGAATACTGTGTGTATGACACAGGAAAACATGAATACAGAATACTGAGAGAAGAAGCATACCTGAAAGTGTGTGAGAGTAAGAAGTGTAAGAGAGAGCAGGTAAGAAAGAGCTGACAGTATGGAGGAGTAGAGGTACGCTTTTCGTGCCTGGCAAAGCCTCACAGAGATGAGCGCAGTTGCTGATGGACTGACTTCGCTTGGCTTCCAGGGAGAAATAAAGGGACAAAAGTAAATTCAAAACAGTAATGCAATACTTCAGTTAGAAGGATACTTTACTTAGCAGAATATTGCATTTAAAGAAAAAGAGCGAGGGAACTGAGAAAATTCTTAAATGTGAATTCCCATGTACACGTGGCATTAATTTTCTATCAATGTAAATTAACAGTGAAAAAGGAATTCATTAAAATGTAATCCACAAAAGTGCACATTGTTTACTGAAGATGCTACTTTTTTTAAAAAAAAAAAGACAGTTTACTAAACCTCTCACCAGAATGAATGCTAGAGCATATAAAAGATACTTCCTGCAGTCGTTCTACAGCCTGAATTATTCTAGACTTTTTTTTAAAGTTGGCTAATTGCAAAAATGGTTCACTTGCAAGAAGTATTATTTGTCTTTGATGTGATTCATTTGTCTGCTGGTACTGTCAGAAGCATATTCTGTGCCCACATGGTCAGTTACTCTTGAGCAAATGGGCTATACCATCACCTAAGAATATGTGGATATCTGTAGGAAGATGACAGCAAATGCACACCAGTGGGGGGGACGGGACATACACAATAAATATGATGGAAGGGCAAAATGGATCTGTCTGTCTTATTGGAACTTCTATTTTACTCTGTAGATTCTCTGCAAATAAATATATTTACTCAGAATGTCTACCAGTTTAACTAAGATTTATAGCAAAGTAACTAACTTAAAAATTGAAACCTTAATGAAAATTTTCATTTCCCCCCCATTATGTTTCAAAATAATTATATTCACAAAAACAAAAAAAGTTTGTTTTTTCCAAATGGAGAGCAGTAATAGGAAAATTTTGTTCTCCATCTTTGGGAAGTAGGGTTTGTGCAGGTAGGAAGATTTGCATTTAGTATCTGAATACTAAACATTTCCTAGGGTGGAGATGTAACAACCTCTTAAACGTTTTGCCTACCATGCCCTTAGTAGAAGCATAGGAAACTAGCCAGAAAAGGGTAGCAAGATAATTTGATACAAGTTATATCAGAGCTTCCTTGAGAAATAGTTTAAGTAAAACAATCAAGATGGCTTAAGTGAGCAGGCTAATCTACACGATCAATGCAGTGAGGCAAGCAAGAGTATTTGAAAACAAGGTGTCCCAGCATTAGCCAATGTGGTTTTCTTCATAAGTTGTTGGACTACAGTTCCTATTAGCCCCAACCAGGATTGTCAATGAACAGGGATAATGGGAGTTGTAGTCCAACAACATCTGGAGGGATTGGATTGGATATCTCAGGGGTAGCCAGAGAGTGATGAGGAAACAGTGTTGAGTTGACAAGGAACCAGTAGAAAAGTGAGATGAGAGTGAAGGTTAAAGACATATTAATGAGTGGGGGAAAATCTATCTGTACACCTTCAAGAGTAACCAGTGTAGATGTGTGCACATGCTAACAAAATTTTGCACACACAGTTAGAGGATCAGGAAAGTGATTTACCAGGAACTGGAACTAGCAAATCAGGACCAATCCTTCACCAAGTGAAAGAAACTGAAAAATGTTTGAAAACACAAAGAACATTCTCTTTCTCTCTTACTCCAGTAACTAACATGCAAAAGAGTTTACAAGCTTGTTTCAGTGCATGCAAACCTGACATCCATAGTGTAAGTCCTCAATCAAAAGCTATGTCTCTTTCTGATTAATTCTGAACTGCAAAATAAACTTGAGTAATAATAGCATTTTTATTATTTACTGAGATAAAGAGAGGTATACTTCTTAACAGAAGTCTCATGTTTAACTGAACATCCAAAGGTTTTAGAATATTACAGGAATGCTTATATTCAAGCTTCTTTTCTAAAACTATGAATTTATTCCGTGTATGCATGCTAATACTAATGTCTACATACCCCTAAATCCATATGACAAAAACTTACTTTTGTATACTACAGTGTTGATGGTTTCCAATTTCAACTTTTATTTTAGCTTGGCAAAAAGAAATATTTATTTAGGTATGAGGTTTCAGCAACTCACAGGTTCTTCTCCAACACTGTATATAGTTGTGATATTCTTTTTTTTAAAAAAATAGCAATGTTTAACTTTTAAAATGTCATAAATACACCAAACAGTACAGCTGGTTCTGCTATGTTTTTCATACTGCGTGTTTTAAATGAAATTCAGGTTTGATAAGCAATTCAGTGTTACATAGTTAGCTATCTGAAAAAGACTGAAAGAGTAAAGCATTTACTGACTTCATCGTTGAGGACAGATTATAATCAGAGGCTGCAGGCGGTAGTTTTAGGCTTGAATCCAGAGTAGCAAAGAAAAAAGCTCCATCCATTTGGGGAAAGCCTGGCAATCCGGCAGAGGCTGCTACTCACGGAAGAGGGAAGAGAAACCATCTATTCATCCTTCTGCCTACAGCCTCCTAGGACACCTCAACCGTTCTATTGGAGAGTTCTCCTACCCTCCAGGAGCTTAACAACAATAATCTCTCCATGAATGAAATTTCACCTGTGAGATCTCTGGATCCAATCCTTAGTCATTAAACTACACTATGCCAGCTTTTAACACTAGGCTATGAACAAGTATCATTAACATGGTGAGTTGTAGGTTATATGGCACTGTAATAATAAACAAAAGGTCTCCAACGCTATATCAGGATACATAAGATTCATAGGTTTACATCAGTGATGGCCAAACTTGGCCCTCCAGCTGTTTTGGGACTATAATTCCCATCTTCCCTGACCACTGGTCCTGTTAGCTAGGGGTGATGGGACTTGTAGTCCATCTGCAGACAGACTACCCTTATTATACCACCTTCTAACTGAAGAGCCTGTTGCACCATAAGCATTTTCTATCATGAGGTCCCACCTCCAACAGAAGCAATGTCTGAATTTACCAACTGACTGATAGAAGTCTGGATGATTAAGAATGCATAGGTTATTGTTGGAATGGGAAACAAAGGATGAGTTGTTAAAGTCTGCTTTGATGCACTGGGTGAGAGAGATGACATAATAAAGAATTAAGTGCGTGGGGGCAATTGTGGAAAAGCTTGTTATACACTAAAAGAGAACTTCATGAAGAGGGTATATAGGTGGCACCTAACCCCGAGCAAAGTACCAAAAATGTATAAATTGGAGCCAGGTACCTGTTGGAAATGTCAGGAAATGGAAGTTAGGTTCTGTCATATGTGGTGGACTTGTAAATTAGCTAAAGATTTCTGGGAGATGATATATAATGAAATGAAAAAAAATGTTTAGAAAGACTTTTATAAAAAGACCAGAAACCTTACTCTTAGGAATCTTAGGAACAGATGTCCCCACTGATAAAATGAATTTATTCATTTACTCAATTAGAACAGTCTGGATGGTATATGCTCAGAAATGAAAAAAGAGAACACACCAACAAAGGAGGAATGGCAGAAGAAATTGATGGAATATGTAGAGTTAGCAAATTTAACTAATGTAATAAAACAACAACAAGGAGATCTTAAGGAAGAGTGGAAAATGTTTGTAGAATATCTGAAGAATCATGGTAAATAAACTAAAACGTTAGCAGGACTAGAGTAAAAACAGTTTAAAGAAATAATGAGAAGGGAGAGGAAAAAAATCTGAATTAAATAAATTATGCAGTACTATTCGGTAATCAAGAAGAAACATGGATTGGTGGGGAGGGGAAGTAGTTGATTATTGTATGGTTGTATTGATTGGAGTGTAAAAAACGTGTATTGGAAAATTATATAAAAAAGAAGATGATGATGTCTGGATGATTAAGGAACATGAAACCCCAACATGAAAAAGACCATTAGGTAAATGGGATTTCAGTGCACTTAAACAGATGACCTCAGGTGTGGGACCTGAGCTCCACCTAATGGTTGAAGCAAAATAGTCTTTTCTCTGCACATGTAACAGTGGCCTCAAGTGGGACCTAACACAGCTCACCCATGTAAGTCGGGAACCTACAGGAAAGAAGAAAAGGGCTTCCTAAGATTTAGGGAATGTGTAATAGCACACACCTCCCAAGAACCACTTCCAAAGAAGCAAATCTTATAATGCTTTACAAAGGTCGTAGTGATTTTGCCTTCAACCACTAAGTGAAGCTCATACCCACCTGAGGTGACTGTTACATGCACAGAGAAAGAATGTTTAATTTCCCCCATTATCTCAACAGCAAAGGTCCAGTGCCTCACAGTCACACCCACCATGGTAGAGATAGCGGAACCAGAAACACTCACATGGTTGTTAGATCATGTACACTGTGCCAAATGGCAATTAGCTAAGGGTGGGGGAGTGGGCTATCAGACACCTAGAAGGCTCTGCATCAAGGCCATGCAGGTACAGACCCAGGTGTGCGACTCCATGACCAAAAAAAGAAGAAGAGTAATTACAAGGCAAGTCACATACTCAAACAACCCAGTATCAAATAGCAGAAACACATTCCAATTACTATGAACATAAAATCACCAACATTTAAATTTTTTATTGATGATGATGACGACATTAAATTGCCTGTGCCTAACCTGTTGCTCTCTGACGCACTACATTCCTTGCTTTCTCAACTCCTGGTACTCCTGAGGTGGTAGCACTCCTAAACCTCATTGGTTCCACAACTTCAGGATGATTTCTCCAGCTTAAAGAAAATGATCTTCCAACTGTAGTTCCCTTCTGAGGTTCCAAATTGCCACCTTTCAAATAATGGAATACAGAGGGAAAGTAACTGCACTGTGTTTTAAAATGAAAACAATTCAAAAGGAAAGATTCTAAATGAACAAATTTATCTAGTTCATGAACAAAACATCAGTTGATGCATCTCAGATTGAAAAAGAAGAGAGAGGATGAATAAATATTATAATTCAGGGAATGCATTTCAAGATAGTGATTCAACCAATGAGCAAAGGCTGTTGGAAATTAACAAGGAGAATATGTAGGAAATGCATTCAGTGGATCTCCTTCAGAGAAATTAGCATTCATTAAGAATTCTCAAAATATCAAACACATGGACAAGACATTCATTTGAATGCTGGCGAAAAGTAACACTTCAGCATGTTCATGCCCAAGTTCTTATACAAAAAGCTACAAAGTGTGGTGGAAGAATAAAAAATATTAATCTCTTGTAGCACGGGAAGTGAGAGAAGCCACCTCTTCAGTTTCTTCAAACACTAGTGTTTTAGGAAAGCAATTATGACCATTCACACTTTCCACAGTAAACATATATATATATATATATATATTTATAAATATTAAAGTAGTGTGTCTGTAAGCAGATGGCTGCATACTGGGGAGCCACAGACACATTCTTCTGTGTGCTTACAGACATGCATCTTACTGTTACAAATATTTGCTGCAGAGACATATTGAGGATATACAGCCGCCCACTTGCTACAAAAAGGGTAGGTATTCATAATGGTACAGTCTGCTAACATATGGAGGTATGATGTCCCAAAGACAAAGAAATCAGTCAGATATATAAAACGGGCTCGAAATGTACTTTTGGAAATATATAATTCTTCAACTAAGCCTATTCCTGAAAGAGGATGTTCCATATTTTCATATATTAGAACATTTCAAATTAGCAGTGACAATTATTAATAACCATTCATTCATTCATTCATTCATACATACATACATACCCCTCCCATCTGGCTGGGCTTCCCCAGCCACTCTGGGAGGCTCCCAACAGAATATTAATAATAACAACAACAATAATAATAAAGAGATAAAACATAAAACATTAAAAACTTCCCTAAGCAGGGCTGCCTTCAGATGTCTTCTAAAAGTCAGATAGTTGTTTATTTCCTTGACATCTGGTGGGAGGGTGTCCCACAGGACAGGAACCACTATTGAGAAAGCCCTCTGCCTGGTTCCCTGTAACCTCATTTCTCGCAGTGAGGGAACCACCAGAAGGCCCTCATGCTGGACCTCTGTGTCGAGACGCTCCTTCGGGTATACTGGGTCGAGGCTGTTTAGGGCTTTAAAGGTCAGCACCAACACTTTTAATTGTGCTCGGAAACGTACTGGGAGCCAATGTAGGTCTTTCAGGTCCGATGTTATGCGGCCGCTCCCAGTCACCAGTCTAGCTGCCACATTCTGGATTAGTTGTAGTTTCTGGGCCACCTTCAAAGGTAGCCCCACGTAGAGCACATTGCAGTAGTCCAAGTGGGAGATAAATACAGCATGCACCCCTCTGGCGAGACTGTCTGCGGGCACGTAGGGTCTCAGCCTGCGTACCAGATGGACACAGAATTGACCTGCAACTGCATGGACAGCTGTGAGTCCAAAATGACTCCCAGGCTGTGCACCTGGTCCTTCAGGGGCACAGTTACCCATTCAGAATCAGAGAGTCCTCCACACCTGCCTGTCCCCTATCCTCCAAAAACAGTACTTCTATCTTGTCAGGATTCAACCTCAATCTGTTAGCCACCATCCAACCTCCAACCACCTCCAGACACCTACACAGGATATTCACCACCTTCACTGGTTCTGATTTAAAAGAGAGGTAGAGCTGGGTATCATCCGCATACTGATGAACACCCAGCCCAAACCCCGATGATCCCTCCCAGCGGCTTCATATAGATGTTAAAAAGAATGGGGGAGAGGACGGAACCCTGAGGCACCCCACAAGTGAGAGCCCAGGAGTCTGAACGCTCATCCCCCCCAACACCACTTTCTGGACACGGCCCGGGAGGAAGGAGCAGAACCTCTGTATAACAGGGCCCCCAGCTAGATCAGGCATCCCCAGCCTTTGGCCCTCCAGATGTTTTGGCCTACAACTCCCATGATCCCTAGCTAACAGGACCAGTGGTCAGGGATGATGGGAATTGTAGTCCAAAACATCTGGAGGGCCAAAGGTTGGGGATGCCTGCTCTAGATGGTCCAGAAGGATGTCATGGTCAATGCTATCTAAGACCACTGGGAGATCCAGCAGAAGTAGGAAACAGCCTCTCACCTGTGTCCCTAGCCCACCGGAGATCATCGACCAGCGTGACCAAGGCAGTTTCAGTCCCATGGTGAGGCCTGAATCCTGACTGGAAGGGATCTGAATAGTCTGCATCCTCCAGGCATGACTGGAGTTGTTCAGCAACCACCTGCTCAATCACCTTGCCCAAGAAAGGAAGATTTGAGACTGGGTGATAGTTGGCCATATTGGCCGGGTCCAAAGATGTGTTTTTAAAGAAGCAGTTTACTAACTGCCTCTTTCAGCGGTTCTGGAAAGGCTCCCTCACAGAGGGAAGCATTCACCACGCCGCAGAGCCCATCGCCCAGCCCTTCCCGGCTCGCTTTTATCAGCCAGGATGGGCAAGGATCAAGGAGACAGGTGGTTGGTTTCACTCGTCCAAGCAGCCTGTCCACATCCTTAGAGGTAACAGATTGGAACTGATCCCATGCAACTTGACTAGACACGACTCTAGCACTCTCCTGCCCTGGCCCTGCTCCCACAGTGGAGTCCACCTCTTTCTGAATCTGAGCAACTTTATTTGCAAAAAAACTTTGCAAAATCATTGCAGAAGATCTTGCAGTCCTTACTGGGCCCCAATAGCGAAGGTGGTTCTGTTAAATTGTGAACCACCTGAAAGAGTCTCCTGCTGCTGTTTTCTGCAGAAGCGGTGAAGAAGGTCCTCTTCACCATTGCTATTGCCACTTGGTAGGCTCGACTCTGAGTCTAACCAGTGTCTGGTCTGATTCAGAATGAGTTTTCCACCGCCAGCGCTCTACCTGTCTCAGCAATTGTTTCATCACCCTCAGCTCTGGGGGAAACCACAGGGCTGTCTGGGCTCCATGCAATCGGAGAGGACGCTTTGGAGGCAGACAGTTGATAGCCCTGGTTAACTCCGCATTCCAGTGGGCTACCAGGGAATCAGATGAAAGGCCATCAACATGGGATAAAGCATCCCCTACCACTCTCTGGAAGCCATTTGGATCCATTAACTGGCAGGGAACACCAGGTCACACATGTCCACAACTATAGTTGGCCCAATTTATTCAGGGACAGCTTCCCATGAAGTCCTGAGTGGCCCCTTGTTGTGTCGGCATGGATGTTAAAATCCCCTAGGACAACCAAACTGGGTGTCTCCAGGAGAACATCCGCCATGACCTGAAGCAGCTCGGGTAGGGAATCCTTGGTGAAGCGGGGAGGTCGCTACACCAGAAGAAATCCTGTACTGCCCCTATTGCCCAACTTCCAGAACACTCAGAAAACTGGGTCTTCCCAATAGGACGCCTGGTGTAAGTAAACGACTTCCTAAAAATAACTGCAAACCCCCCCTCCTGCTCACATGACCTGGGTTGCTGTGTGTAAGAGAAACCTGGTGGACAAGCAGCAGCAAGAACAGGCCCATCTGCTTCATCCAACCAAGTCTCTGTTACACATGCCAGATCAAGTTGTGGTTGACAGCAGTCTTATGAATCATTGAACTGGCATTGCACAGCAGCACCTTCAGATCATGTGGGTCTCCCTTGTTGATTCCAGTATCCTTCCAGTCAAGACCAGGCCTGGATAGTCTTCAAACAATGACTAAACCTGCCTCCTTGGTAATGATGTGGTTTGGTCTTAGCGTAGTTCCTCCTCCAGCCCGTGATCACTGAGATTGTGCGTCCCAGTGCATCCCTCAGTGTGGAACCCAGCCCCAGCCATTCTGTTGGCTGGGGCCCACTCCCAGGCAGCCCTGAACCTCTCCCCTTAAGAACAGAACACAAACCATACAATAAACCAATAAACCAGTAGAACCCCCCAAAAAACCAATAATGAAATTTTACAATTATACTACAATTAAACAAATTCCCACCCCAACCAAACGTCCATCCCACCCCCCACAAAACAAAAATGAAATTCAAAACACCACAGATTAAAAATTATTTAAAACACCTAAAAACATTTAAAAGCATCCTCAACATTTGCCCCGACCCCAGAGACAAGACAAAAGTACTGCTTCTAAAAACATCCCATTGTACAAGAAGTATACAACGTAGATAAACTTAAAGTAGACTTTGAAAGGTGTTTTAATTTAAATGAGGATATAAAAACTATCTGTTCTTCAGATAGTAGAAGAACTGCTCATACGTACAGGAGAATCCCAGTTCCAATTATATTAGCCATTGAGTAGATAAGAATAGATAAACAGCAGCTTCACTTTCTGATTCTGCAGTGCACAGAGAACCCATCTTAATTCATGATACTAACAAAGCATTTCAAACTTCAGTTGTTTTTATGTAGACAGGAAAGTGCAAAAACCGCATCACAGAAATACATGTATATGATCAAGGGACTGTACTCATAATTTTATGTATATAATTTAATATCAATGATTGTGTTCAAATTCAAGTTAAAATTAAAGTTCCAGCACTTCAGCAGCTGCTAAGTTTCCAACACAGACATTCAGATAAGCTACATACTTCTTGCCTACACTCAGTTTGAATATATTTTGCTCTTTATTTAACGCTACATCTGATCAGCTTCAAGACACATGAAAATCTCCTGATTTTGTGTGAGCTCATTTACTCTATGCCAATCAAAGCCCGCGAATTAAGTCATAAAAGCTGGTACTTCATTTGCTGCTGTCAGGACAGTAGACGAAGAATGTATGCTGAGTTGCAAAAAACACGGCTGAGTGAAGTAAGGCTGAAGGAAGATGAAGTGCAAGAGAAGATAGAAAGTAAGTTGGGGTTAACTTTGCAATATAGCAGTAGATTAACATTTATTATACATAATATATAATCATATTTGCTGTGACTGACAAGCTCTTACAGCTAAACACACACAGCTGTTAGAATTTTAACTGAATCAAGGTTTACCTTTTCCTCGTTGTATTTTCTCTTTTTGCTCACTTAGCTTATCCAGTGGCAGATTGGTCATTTCAACACCATACACTGTCCTTGCCAAAACAGATGTAAGAGAATCCATTATGTTAGTCCATTCAGTTATTAGTTCTTCCCAATCTGTAAGGGATGACAGCACACGCAGTAACTCATCCCAGAGCTCTCGAGAGATATAAACACTCAGATTAGCACGAACCCAGGCCACAATGAGTGTCTGTGTTGGGAGACAAGAAAGGGAATTAGAGTGGTGAATAAGTTGACTTTTCATCTAGAATATGACAACAGAAAAAAGGATACATTTGCAAGCAAAGGCAACCCCCCAACAGTTAAGGCAACATCACTAATCCACGTTCTAGATTCCAAGGGAATAAAAAAAGTTGCACTCAGAAGCAGTAACTTTTCCACAGCCTAAAAGCTTGTTCCATTATCTATTTTTGCAGTCTGAAATGTTTCAAATGTAATATAGGATATTCATTCAATCCATTTATTCATATTCTGACCAATAACTCCTAATTCTCCTTCTTAAGCTACAAGACCTATAATACATTATTTGCAATTAAATTGCCAAAAACTATTCAGAACAAAGGAAGGCACTCAAGAGTAGTGTCTTTGGAACTGTTGAACCTAACTTAGCCATGTTAATTAATTTCAATAGATTTCAATATTTCAATATTTACATACCCTTTAAGCATTCCTGTACTTTATTTTCTAATTCCAATTTTTAGACAATTCTTGTTTTAATATAATGGAGTTATTAAGTTCAGTTGAACACTACTGCTACCAGCCTATCATTTTCCCGAGGAACAACATTACACTGTTTTTTTCTTACTATAAATCTTTCTGCTCTAACTCTCACACTGTTAGAGGCAGTTTTCATACACAGGGAAAGTTAAGCACTCTGTAATTACAATTATTTCAAGATGATGGCCCATACCCGAAACAATAATCCTGCTAAACTTTGAGCAAATGTATCCTTTACTTGGTTCTCTTTTGATCTATTCATGACAACTTCTGTTATCTTAAGTAGTATCTGTAGCATTTGCTCCCTAAGACAAAATAGAAAAACCACATGTTTAGAAATAAATCCCATAATTTTATTTTACATATGAAAAATACACAAACTATATTAACAAATGCGATGCTCAGAATAGGTTTGGCACTGCCATTCTTCAGACAGGATGGTGTTCCAAAAAAGATCATTTGGGTTCTGCAAAAGACATTTAAGTGCATGTAAACATCAGGTGGGACTTGAGCCCTACCTGGTGGATGAATCACTGCTCCAAATAGAATTTTCAAAAGAAAGGAGACACATAACAGAGAACAGTGACAGCCAACCAAAACCAGAACAATGAATGAGACTCTCTGTGGAATAAATAACAACAAAGTAAAGGAGAAAAGGCTCCGGTAATATGTTGTGCGTGTAGAAAAACAACAAAGCCAGGCAGCTCAAGGCAAAATCCCATACTACAGAGTGAGGCCCTGAAGTCACCTGTCTACATGCACAGAAATCCTCTTTGCAAGAAAGAACTCAAATGGTCTTTTCTCTGTACATGTAATGGAGACCTCAGGTGGGACACAGCGGTGACCCATGCAAGGCAGAAAACTACCAAACAAACAAACAAACAAACAAACAAGGAAAAGGCTGCCTAGAGATTGGGCAGGCTGGGCATTTTGTAGTGCTTGATAAAAGTACTGGCTTTGGTCCAGGTGGAAGCTCTACAAATTTCTTGCATGCAGCATTCAGAGAAAATCCTGTCTGTAGCACTAGCTGAATGAGAATTTTTTTTTGTAAATGGTGGCAATGTAAGGCAGGTGTAAGTTAAGAAATACAGGCCTTAAGTCACCTAGTCAAAGTAGAAGTGAACACTTTCCAGCATAGGAAAGAATGGAAAGTGGGGGAATGAGAGTATCTGACTGGCAGAAGGACTTGATTTAATAAATATACACCTTCAATGCACTTCACACATCCAAGGAATGTCAGGCTTTTTCTGGGGGGTGAACAGGAGATGGGCAGAAAGAAAAAAAGGGTCTGCTCCTGCTTGATGTGCCTGTAGGAACATGCAGCCAGGCCTCTGCTGGTTATGGGGGCTGCGAAGGGCAAGTCTCCTTTGAGCCTTCTGTTCTGAGATAGGCGGAGCAGATCTAGTTCTTGGGGAAGCGGGGGGGACTCTGGCAAACTCACTTGGCTGCTGCCCAGATTCTAACACACCTGGCACTTGCCTCTGTTCACTGCTACCTTGCTCCTGTTCTTCTTCACCCATTATTTCCAAGGCCCTTCCTTTTCTTCTGGGGGGTGACCTGTCTTGAACCACCAGTCCAAGACCTCGTTCTCTTCCCCTTCCCATTCTCTGGAATGCTCTTGGGGTGGTGGTCTCTACCACCACTCCTCCTCCTCCTCCTCCTTCGGCCAGTCCCTGACATTACCTGTGTTGTGTTCTGATCCATGTATATGACACACTAAGTCTATGCCAATAAAGGAGATTGATATTGATTGATACTGTAAAGCACCCTGTGATCCTTGGATGAAGTGTGGTATAGAATTGAAATAATAATAATAAAAAACACTGATGATTCCAAAGAGGAATTTCGAAAACTCCATTTGGAGCAGCAATTTTGTCTTCAACCACTAGGTGGAGCACAAGTCCAAGGTGAGGACACTTACTTGCCCAGAGAAAGAGTGATATCACAACCCGAACAAAGGAAAATAGCACTTTCCATGCATTTTTTAAGTATGCTTACTAGATATGGCAAATAATAAATCAACACAGTAAATAAGACACTCTGTATCCATGAAGAATTGCATTAAATCAGAAGTCAGAAACCTCCTATGGGCCAAATTTGGCCTGCCAGGTCTCAAACGACCCCCATGTAGATAATGCATTTGGAGATGTCCATGCATGACCTTTCCCTTTTAGAGTTAAAGATGGGGGGAAACAACAACCAAATGTCATGATTTCAAAACTTATTTCTATGTAGAAAATTTCAGATAGGGTTGTAAAAAAAGAAGGTACAGTACGTTTTATAAATTTACACATGTTTTAAAATTCTGAAATATTCAACTCTAGCAGCAGAGCCTGCTTAGAAGTAAGAGCCGTTAAGTTCAACGGGACTTGTTCCTAGGCAGACTCAATGTTTTAGATCATTTTTGAGATACGTTGCGCATGTCACACATAGAGGAAATACATTAAAAACATACCATGTCTTTTTATTCATTGGAAGATCCATAATCATGCGCCTAAATATACTCAAAACTGCTCTGCATGCATCAACTTGCTCCTTCAGGAGTGGAGGTATTTCAGTACATGGTTCCAATAAAAACACATTTGCAGAGTTTGTCAAGAATACCTTAATATTTTGAAGGAAGGAAAGAAGACACAAAGGGGATGGTGGGAAGAATAGCAATCAACAAATTTTATTCAGTTATTCTAATGTTAAACTACATCCTGTTCAGAACACTTAACATGTATTCTCACAGCCACAAACAGGAAAGCGCCTTTACATTCCTTTAATGGGAAAAGCCATACAGAGTTTGGTTTTCAAAACGTTTTGGGACCACTCACCACCATTTTTCATCCTAGTGGGATATATGATTGCTGGTGAGCCACAAAACCTTCCTACAGGTGGCATTTCTCTTCCTAGAAGAAATTCAGGAACTTTCTCTAAAAGACATTGGGGGTTCTAATACATTATTGTCTTGCTCCAAGATTATTAGAAATAATATCTGATAGTAAACATAAGATAAAAAAACAAATAAATAGTTGTCATCCCTTTTTCTTCCCCTTTGCCTCCCAATAAAATACTTTATTTTTTGAAATTTGTCTTAAAAGGCATTTCTTTAGAATTTCTCACTAAAATCTCCTAATGAGCTAGACATTTGTATTGTTAAAACATTACACAATATTTTTGTTTTGTGCCCCCGGGACTTTGGTAAAGTTAATCCAAAGGTCTTTACTGTTTAATATTTCTAGAATTTAGCAGAATTTAGCATTATAACTTAGAAACTCCCAAGGCTCCTGGGCAGCCTAGGGATTCTCTAGGCTAGGATCAGCCTAGAGAGCATCTTATTATACTTCTTCTTTGGAGGGCATACAAAAACTACCAGTAAAAGTAAAAACTACCAGAAAGCCTCGCAACTACCACCCAGTTCAACCGCATCAATTTCCAGGTTTTAGCAGCTTGAAAGAAGCAGCAGCCCAATAATACTTTCAGTGATATTTGTCCAAAGCATTCATCTTCAGACCCAGAAATAATAATACTGGAAATAGAAATATTCTGCTCCATTTGACTATCGTGATATCCCATAAATGTTACCTGTAGTGTAGCTTGAAGCCCTGCTTTGACATTCTTGTTTTCATCTTCTAATATACACCCTCTATTAACCGCATTAGAGAAGGAATGTGATCTTCCCCAACTAGATGACCTTTTATGTCCAGAATGGCCAGTTGCAAGCTTCAAAAAAGAAAAAAAACATGACAATATGCACTGGTTAAGACAGCATATCAAATTTATTTTTAAATGGTTAAGACGTAATAATTTAAATGCAGTAGATCAGCCCAAGAAGTACAAGCAACTTCCACGGCCCTTGAAGCCTTTCAAAAATCTGTAAGTCATGTCTTTCTCCAATCCTAAAAATGCTTCTGTTGGATGTAATCCCCAATGAAATCAGTGTTATTCCGAAGTTCCAATATCTTTTTTTATTAACTAGTCATAATTGTATCATATAAACACATCCAAATGCTCCTTAAATTAGGACATCCCTTCATGTCAATGCTCCACCAGGAAAGTCAGTGTTGTCATGAGCAGGCGCCACACAATTGGGCAACACATGTTACCACTAGGGCAGGCGATATCAGGTTTTCAACACTGTGATGTATCACCAGCTGAACACCATGATATAGTGACACACTGTGGTGCTGGAAAGGAAAGAGCATCACCCCTGGCCCCACAAGGCGCCAGGGTGAAACCGCTGCCACTCCTGCTTCAACCAGCGCCTGGCGCAGAGAGGGAGGAGGCAGCCAGAGAAGAAAGTCAAGGCGCCAGCCAGCTGGCAAGTCCCACCCTCGATATTCTGCCAGGTGAAGAAATAACATATGTAACTGAATGCATAGCTTTGTTGGTAGAGCACGAGACTCTTAATTTCAGGGTCATAGGTTCAAGACTCCTGCATTTCAGGCGGTTGGACTAGATGACCCTCATGGTCCCTCCAACTCCGCAATTCTGTGAATACTTCTATAGGTCTAATATATTAATAGGAAAGGGCAAGTTCATTACTTGCAGTATTCACAAGCCAAGGAAAAAAGTACATTTTATTACTCTGATGTTTTATAATTTATTCCATCATGACATTTTCAAAAAGGTGCAGCCAGCTGATGTTTTATCAATTGGGTTGTATCCAATCGTATTGCTCAGCTGGCAGGAAGGCTTCCATCATCAGAAGAGGGAGGGAGGCAAATTTCAGTCATTCCTTCTTCTCCACTCTCATCCCACCTCTAAATCTGCTCCAGCTGGGTGACACCATTGATACAACCCATTGAATTTTTACCTTTTGTACACTGCTTTGGAATCTCTCTGCATGAAGGGCAGCATATAAATATTTTTAATCAAATAAATAAATGTCATACTATCACACAGAGGAATATAACAAAAACTTGGGAAGAAAATATCCAAAAGTGGTATATTTGTCCTTATTAGGAGGTAGTGAGTATTTGATCTGTTTAGTCCTCTATGGGGTGTAAGAATAGCTAGGACGGGAACAGGCACATTATTGGTGGTAGGTAGCTAGATGAAAGGCCACAAATGAAACATTGTGAAGTTCTATTATTCTTAGCCTGGCTAGTCATCATAAAGCACACAAACCTCCATTAATTACACATTATAAACTATCCACCTATTTAATAAAGGCTGGTAGCATACATGTTTGCCTTCTGTTTCTGCTGTTGGATGATCTAAGACGTCATCATCATGAACCGTTTCCTTCACATCCGGTTCTTCCATGAACACAGGCTTCTCTTGGAGTATCCACTTCCTATATACCTTCACTACTTTTTCTGTTGACGATATCTCAGATGAAGGCAATAAAAAAGCCTAAAATGTCAACAGTACACATTACTGATACTTAAGAGAAATAAAGTACACTTGTACAGATTGAAAGTACATTACAGATGAATGTTTGCAGGCCAGAAGCAGCTCCTGGTGCTCTCCTATCAGGCCCACAGCATCTCCCCCTTGGCCCACTGCAATTAGGCTTGGAAAAAACATTCTGCTAGAAGTCTTTTTCAAGCCTTGCTGTGCTACAGGGAGGAATTTCAAGGACTTCCCCTCCCAAGCTGCAATTTCTCCCCTACCCATGCCACAATTAGGCTTGAAAGACACCTTTTCGGTACAATATAAGTTTTCCCCCCTCTAATAGATTGGAGGTGGTAAGAGTGAGTGTACTATATGTGTGTGCTACACCCATCTTAGATCAGAAGAGAGCTATCCAAAACATTTTAAGATTTGGTTACGCCACTGCAATGCACCGCTTCAATACATCAAGCCAATATGCAAATAATTAAAATAATTCTCTGATTTTACAAAGCCATGTGTAAGTAGTATGGACATTTTTGTTGATAGAACAGACCCTCTACAAATTAGGCTACAATTCTATGCATATTCCTTGGAAGTAAGACCCACTGAACATACAGGCTTGGACATCCACGTAAACAGACAGAATTAGACTTTACATCAAATACCGTATTTTTCACCCTATAGGACGCACTTTTTCCCCTACAAAAATGAAGGGGAAATCTGGGTGCGTCCTATGGGGCGAATGCAGGCTTTTGCTGAAGCCTGGAGAGCGAGAGGGGTCGGTGCGCACCAACCCCTCTCGCTCTCCAGGCTTCAGGAAGCTCTGCGCAAGCCTTGGGAGTTCCGCGGGAGTTCCCGTCGGGCTCCCAAGGCTTGCGGATAGCAGCCTGCATCCCGAAGCCTGGGGCGCGCTGCACATCGGGCAGCCCCACAAGCTCGGGGGACAGCGGGGAGACGCAGCGTGCCTTCCTGCTGTTCCCCGACCTGGTTTGGAGGCTGGCGCTGGGGAGGAGCGCTCTTCTCCCCAGCGCCAGCCCCACAAGCTTGGGGAATAGCAGGGAGGCGGAGCGCCGCCATCCCGCTGTTCCCCGACCTGGTTTGGATTCCCCGACCTGGTTTTGGGGGGGAAATAAAGGAATCCCCCCCCTTTATTTCCCCCCCAAAAAACTAGGTGCGCCCTATGGGACGAAAAATACGGTAAATTCTGTGACACAAAACAACCAAACTATTCAGATATTTATAACAGGTACAATTGGTTTGGCTTTATACGTTTCTTCCTCTACTGTGTCATTGTAAATGAGGATTCATGTTATTTAACTTGGTGTTGGTTCACAAATTCCTCATCACCTCACTATAAGTTAGATTTCTTAGTCCCTTCTTGGGGTAACATAGGGATCAAAAATACAAGTACTGTGGTACCTTGGTTCTCAAACTTAATCCGTTCCGGGAGTCCGTTCAACTCCCGAAACGGTTTGAAAACCAAGGCGCAGCTTCTGATTGGCTGCAGGAGCTACCTGCACTCAAATCAGAAGCTGCAGAAACTGCGTCTGACATTCGTCTTCCAAAAAACGTTCGAAAAACTGGAACAGTCACTTCTGGCTTTGTGGCGTTCAGGAGTTGATTTGTTCAAGAGCCAAGCCGTTCAACTACCAAGATACCACTGTATTTGCCTTTGAACATTCAAATATGTAAGTAATGTCCAAGTTAAACTAAATAGTGCAATTCAAAAGTATGTCAGAAGAGGGCATATTCCACCTAACAATATTTAAGTTTTCCTTTTCTGAAAAGCTAAGAGCAGGGACAAAAACCCGGCTCCTTGTTTTTCACCTATTTCTTAATAGAAAAAGCAGACTTTTCACAGGCAGCACATTTGGCATCTTTGTGCACTTTCTCTCTCTTTCCTACACTCACTTATTATTTTCACTATAACAGTCACACTTGTATATCCCACAATTTTCTCTCTAGAGAGAAGCAAAAGATTTTTAGCTGAATTATCTCAGCCTTTATTACAACGTTAACATTTTGCACCACAATCCTAAGTTTATTCAGAAATAAGTCCCAGTGAAATCAATGGGACTTACTCCCTAGGTACATGAGCTCAGGATTGCCACCATAGCTTTATTGTGCTTTTATCTTCCGTACACCTCTAGAAATATTTTACTCATACTTTCCCAAGACCTCAGAAGAAGATTACATTGATTTATTTTACCTTGACAGCAACCTACAGTGATGAAGGTTAGGAAAAAGAGAGATAGACTGGCCCAAGACTTCCTAGTACATGTCAGGACTGGGCAAGGATTTAATGTGGAAATCATGATCTAAACCTAGCACACTACTACATTTCCACAGCATACATACATTTACCCAGAACTAACCTGACGAAATACTTCATTGACAAAATTGACATAACCTCGTGTAGACAAAAGGATCTGTTGCACCATCTCATAGACGACCCGGTGTTGTTCTTCAATACTGCAAAAGCTGGAATCACTGAGCCTCCTCTCAGTCAACGTGCCATTAGTTGAATGACTTTTCTCCTGATCCAATACAACACTGTTCTCCACTTCAGAATTTTTATCTTGAATTGCACCGCCCACACTCTTAAGTAACATTGGGGAGGGGGGAGAGAGAAGACAGCAAATTATAATTTATAAACTTAATATGTAGTGGCTTAGCATTATGTGTGAATCTTTTGCATAGTTCAAGATACATTTGTTTAAATCCATGTTTAAAGCCACATTTCATTTTTTGTAACTGCCAATTGTCACAAAGATGTTATTCTACTATTAAAGAAAAGCTTATTTCAGAACACATTCTATGTAATTATGGCTAACAGTAACTCTCAAAATGCACAAACAGAATGGGTAAAGCCCATGTAAATATTACAGTTCATTTAACAAAGCATTAGCTATAACATTCCAATTTAACATTTTTTAAAGTAATACAAACATGTATACAATTTACAACTCACTTGAATGATTCTGGGCAAAACGTCCCCTCCATTTTTAGAATTCTGTGTTGGTGTGAAGTACTTCTTTTCCAGAAAAAAGTTTACAAGCCATTTAATAAAGGCTACACGAGCTGTCATGTATGGTATTTTTGTGCTATAAATGTTTTCATTATTACAAGCTACACTAACATACGCTGGTTTGGGTCGCAGGCCAGGAATGTCTGTAAATCAGAAAACAGAAAATGTAATTTTAAAAATTTTGACATTGTGAATTACATGGTTCACAGTGTAATTTTTCCACTCAGTGAAAACAATGAAGTCAGCTTTCTCAGAGAAAGCAATATTTTGTACAAATATTGAACTCCATGTTTGAAACATTACAAAGCCATATAAATGATCATTTATCTTCCTCAGGCAAAAAGTACAGAAAGGGTGGCTTAAATTTAGAAAGTCATCATATATCACTTGAACGATCCAAAGTGTCACAAGTTTCACATGTTAATTGTTTCTCTGACACGTCCAGCTTTCTACTCCTACAACTTGATTATATAAAAAGACATAACACTCAGGTTGTTTTGCCTTTTGCTTTTAAAGAGAAGTGAAGCTTTTACTACACCATTGTTAAAATCATGCCTATTGAATAAAAGACAAAGGTTGCAATCCAATGCATGCTTACCTGAAAGCAGAACACATTTAGGTCAGTGGGCCTTCCTCCAAGCAAGCATGTTTAGGATCAGGCTGTAAGATCCTCAACCCTAAAGACATTCACTTCCCTAAAGCATTCTTGTAACCCTCTAAGGTAGGTCAATTTTATACCATCCCCATATTGCAGGTGGTTGGCTGAAGCTAAAGAACCGTGACATGCCTGGTGTCCCCTGATGGGCACCCTTCTGCCACTCTCATGGTTCTCTGGATCAGAGTGAACATATTTAGAACCAGAGAGCATAGTAAGAAAATATATTCAAATGCGTATAAAGAGACATTAAGAGACGCACGGAAAATATACGTATCTCACACTTTATTTGGAAAAAATAAAAATAAAATAGCTACTCACCAAGCACAGGTTTGTATACGTTGGTTAGTTTTGTAAAAGAGGGAAATAAGTGAGGAAGGTAATACTTTCTGAACAATGCAAAGAGAAACTTAAATCCAGTATCACAGTTCTCTTGATTCTTCCATTCCAAGCTCGCAGCCTACACCAGAGTAAGGAGTGTCATGTTAATACACAGCATACTGAAAAATAAGTCTAAATGAAACACTTTATATGAACACTTTAAAAAATGCACTGCTCTCCAATCCCATATTTAGGCCTCAAGACAGACAAGAGTTTAAAAATCAAGCAGACACTAAACAGAAAGTACTTGGTTACTGATGTAACTTTGGTAGCTATTGAAAACACCTCTCTTCATTATCTTCTTGTTCAAACACAGTGCACAGTCAATACAGACAAGATCTTGGCTGATCTTCAGAGTCATGTTGGAACCCAGGGGAAGAGGCAGTGCCACAGGGAATGTATAGGACCCAAGCCTAGACTCTGACCTATGAAGTGCACACATTAATAATGAAGACACTAGATACTGATGAACATCCTCAGCAACGAATTATGGAATTGTGTCCTTACGATATACTCTGCTTTGTTATCTTGTGCTTATTTAGATATGCTGTGAGCAAGTGAATATATCATCAAGTTAACCAACGCTGAAGAAGCAGATTTACATGTAATTACCTGGATTACCATATATTTTAACAGTAGCTGAAGGAAATAGCATGTTGGGTCCTCAGCCGTTTTTTCTCCAGAAACATGTGGTAAAAGTGGAGTTATTTCTTCAGGATAAATCTTTGCTAAAATAAAAAAGAAGTCATTTTGAAAGATTTAAGACACAGTTGCATAAACACCTTCTTTTTTTAAAAATGAAAAATTGGGGGTGGGAGCTCAGTCAGCTCAAGTAGAGAGACTGCGGGCACCAGAATCCTCCACTTTCAGATGGCTTTCCTCCTCTCCGGTAGAAGAAAATCCCCAGGGTTATTGTTCAGTAAGGTATAAATACCCATGCCTATAGGGGCCACTGGATCTAGAGCAGCCCAGGACTTCATGACAGCTATGGGGCTGTCTGCAATGTCAAACACATGCAGCATTTTAGATTTCTTTCTCACCCTTCGGAAGCCTTCATCTGCTGCACTAGATAATACCAAAGGGCTCAGGATAGTACTAGCCACAAAGTTGAGTTCTTTATTGCTATATAGATGAGGGTGGGATCATTTTTAGACAAGGATCCTTTTTCTAGATGTCCTTTTTCCTTTCCCCCCTTCCAACTGACACCCTCTATGTTCTGGAAGCCACTGAGACTAGATCCTTATTAGACTTTCGTGGGACTTTTAAAAATAAATCATTTTTCTTTTCAGCTGGGTAAATTTATATGCTTCTGCAAATCTGGGAGTAACCCAAGTATGCAGAAACTACTGCGTCATTTTCAGGTGACCCTTTGTAACTGAGAAAGTGACAGGCACTGGGCTACTAAAGGTTGATATCAGAAGGAATAGGTGGCACCTGCAGCAAAGCTTTGCAGTGTATCCTCATATCCTAACACAAGCTTCTAGTTAGCCATGTCTTCCTCCAGGGTATCACATTCCATTCCTTTTCCTTGCCAATTTCCCTTTTTCTTTTCTAAGTAACACTCAGTATACTGGGGCTACTGAGGACCCCTCAACCATGCCCAAAGGAAGCACCTATAAGAACATCGGGAGACATTTCCTAATGTGAGAGAGAGAAGGCCACTACTATGGTGAAACCTGCAAAATACTTGCACATTGTCTAAAAACAAAAAAGCCCACACTTTTTTCTTTGAAAATATTTTTTCTCAAATGCAAATTTAGAGAGATTCAATCTATGGATTGACTAAAATTCATATGATTAATCAACAAAATTTCTTTAATCAGGTGACAGTGCAACTAAAAACTTAAGATACTTGAGAAAATATCAGAATATTTGTTAGCCGCCCTGAGCCCGGCTTCGGCTGGGGAGGGCGGGATATAAATTTTTAAAAAAATATTATTATTAATAATAATATAGCAAAAACAAACCATCAGTGTGACTGGGAGGAGGGCTAATGAGAGTATCGAGTGTGCATGGACCTCGAGAAGACATCACTGCAGGAAAACCAGGAACGAGGCAAGCAAAGATTAACAGTTGCTCTTCTGCACAATTTGTCTGGAGAGCTTGTAACCAGAGAAGAAACAGTCTGATTCCTTCACATCTTATCTAGAAAGAAGACACATTTTAGAAAGCAATATAAAAAGAACAGTCCAGCAACGCTGGGAAAATAAGAAATACAGTGGTACCTCAGGTTACATACGCTTCAGGTTACATATGCTTCAGGTTAGACTCCGTTAAGCCAGAAATAGTGCTTCAGGTTAAGAACTTTGCTTCAGGATGAGAACAGAAATTGTGCTCCGGCGGTGCGGCAGCAGTGGGAGCTTCTAAAGTGGTGCTTCAGGTTAAGAACAGTTTCAGGTTAAGAACGGACCTCCGGAACGAATTAAGTACTTAACCCAAGGTACCACTGTAGACTTAACACCTTAATAAAGTACTTTGTTGTAACTGCTTTCAACCATTACTGCCATAAAGGGTAACTGCATTCACTTTGCAGAGAAAGAGTTTCCCCTTTGAAGATGTTTGCCATCAGTTGTTTAATTGGAGAAAAGATTTGGCACTATAGTTAATACTGCCATATTTTCCGAAGTCCAGGTTTCAGACAGAACCGATATGACTTCCATTTATGCAATATGACTTCCACCCTCTCCTTCCCCTACACATGCCCCATGGTGTCCCCAAATATGTTCCGAAGGACTGAGGTAAACCCCAGAAAAGATTCAGCAGGTGTGCAAGGGGAGGAGGGGAAAGTTCTGTTGTGCAAATGAAAGTCTTTCTCCTTGCACAAGAAGCTACTTTGTGCTATTTTGAATACAACCCATTGTTTCCATATTTTACAAGATACTGCAATGACTGAATGAGTAGCTTTCTTGCTCCTTTCTTATCCCAACCATTATTCCATGGATATTGGAATATTAAGATTGTATTGTTTCTGGCACCAGCTAAAGACTTTTTTGTTTCAAGCATGTAATCAGACATACAATTTTTAATTTTATCTTATTATGTATAAACAACTGATGATTTTTAGGTTTACTTGCTTAATGAACATTTTATGTTCTATGTAAACCACTTAGAGATTTATAGATGATTAAGCAATATATAGATATCCTATAAAATAAATAGGCTGTATCTTTGTGCACCTTGAAAAAGAGAAAGATCCAAGGAAGTGGAATTGCTGAGCCAAGGAAAGAAAAAAAACTCTGCACAAAAACAAAATGTTAGGTACAGAACATCTCATTGCTCAAACAATGGAAAAAAGAGGGATAACACAAAGAAAACAGCAGCAACTAAAAATTGTGTATTGAGCTCAGGGCTGAAGACTATTTCAAGGTCACCCACTGCACTTGTGTAGCAGACCTCTTACTGCTCACGATTGCCAGCTTTCTTTTACCCTTGATATATACTGCTTTGCTATCTTTGTTCTGAGCTCTTGCCTATGTTTGGACCCTGTGTCAGTGTGGAATATCTGAAATTTCCAAGTTTTCTTACAATACATCTACTTATTTCTTGACCCTAAGGCTATCTGTATCATTGCTTCTTAGCACATTTCAAAATATTAAAGTTGTCTTGTTTATACTTCTGTGATACATTCAGGGCCTTTTTTCAAGCTGGAACTCACTGGAACTCAGTTCTGGCACCTTCCAGGTGGACACCACTGCCATTATAAGAGAACAGCGGAGGGTTCATGGTGAGTTCTGGCACCTCTTTTTTTAGAAAAATAGCATTGGGTATGTTCATACATATTTACCACTGTACAAATACAGTGTTCCAGGCAACTAGATCCTATCAAATAAAACTTCAGTTTATTACTTTGTTTACCGATTCTAATTACAAGTGTGCCCACAGCAAGAGACACCCCATTAGCGTTGTCAGGTGGGTTGCTAAATCTGTAGTGGATCTGCGAACTCTCTTTCTAGCCATTTTACAAAATTCTGCAAGCCTAAGTACACTGCTGTCACCACTACTTAGATAGAAGGTATACCAGTTTCCACAGCATGTGATGGCACCCAGTCTATTAGAGGCTTTCATGCCACTCTGTGGGGGCTACTGAAGACTGAAAAGTCCTATGGCAGGTCATATCTTGTAAAGGATGTGACAGGTCCACAACAACTCCAAAGCTTAAAAGTCACTCTCTTGATTTCACGAGTGGACATGAACAAAATACCTTACACACACAGCTACACAAAAGAGATGAGAACATGCAATACTTGAATCCATCATTCTCCACCATATTCTGAAAGACAGCTTTGAACAGTCTAACCAGCGATTGCTTCAAATTGCAGCCACAAGTTTATAAGCAGGTGTGGCTGACTGCATGCTGGTGTCATATTGCTCTAACACAGAACATCTTTGTTCCTCCATTTTTTTTAAGCTGATGCAAAATAGCTCTATCACTTGCTGCCCTACAGACAGTAACAGAACAAATACTCTGCAAGATCCCAGGTTCAATCACTGACTTTGCCAGTTAAGAGGATCAAGCAGCTGGTGATGGGAAAGGCTTATGAGACCTGGAGAGCCAATCCGAGTCAGAGTAGACAAGGGATGAGGAACCTATGGTCCTTCAGATGTAGTGGGACTCCTGCTACCATCAGCCCCTGCAACAATGCTCAGTGGTCAGGAATGATGGGCACTGTAGTCCAGTAACATCTGGAGGACCAGTTTCCCATCCCTAGAGTAGACAATACTGGGACAGATGTACAAATAGTATTGCCTGATATAATGCAGCTTCCTGTGTTATTTTATTAAACTTTTAATATCCTACATTTTGTGAAGCATTTGTGATTATTTTAGTGAATAGAAGATGGAGCCCTAGTTTTTCTGGGCTACATTCAGGTTGTATGTGCCAATCTTTTCATTAGGCTTCATAATATTGTAGTATTCTTCTTTAGTGTATCTGAAGAAGTGTGCATGCACACGAAAGCTCACACCAAGAACAACCTTAGTTGGTCTCTAAGGTGCTACTGGACAATTTTTTAATATATATTTCTACTGCTACCTAATTGTAGCATCACTATAAGATACAAAGCAGCAATAGCTAAAGGTTAGAAACATTTCTGCAATGGGAAGACAGGCAGAGGATGGGAAAAGGTCCCTCCAAATTATAACAGGACCATCTTGCTTTCTAAGACTCCTGGTTCCTCTAAATCTCCAACTGTACATGAGCACTTGAAAGAATGAGCAGTTGAAAGCAATTAACATGTACATAGCTTAGGAACTCAATTAAAACAAATGATACATATTATTAATGGTTCAGTCTCAGTTCCTTGGGTTAGCAATGAATTGGAACCGTCAATTCCAAGGCCTGTCCTTTCTCAAAACCTCTTGGGTGAGCATTACAAAAAACAACCCATTTTTACAACTAACATTTAAAGAGTGGTGTAGATGGCAAATACATCTGCCCCCCCCAAGTCACCCTTGACGCCCATTCTGGACCATCCAGCATTCTGTTTTGATGATAAATATTATCAATATCAATGCTGGGAATATATAGGATCAAAGCTATTATGCCTATGTCAGCATCTTTATTAAAGGGCAAACTAAAAGATACCCCACATAGTAAGCTCCAACTAACCCACGTTCTCTTTTGTTCAGTACTGCAGCACAAAGGAGAGGGTCACTGCCCCTGACTCCCTGTGAGCTACTTTGCATTAATGTGACCTTAAGTAATAAGGGTATAGCTTCTAATATATACAAAATTCTACTTAGTAAAGTATCAGGCTCTTCCCAGGGGCTACGATCAATGTGGGAGAGTGATCTGGGCCTTCGGATAGAGGAACAAGCATGGGAAGCAATATGGTCTAAACCCCCACTGAAAGCTATCTCTGCAAGAATACAGGAGGCCACACTGAAAACATTGCTAAGATGGCATTGGACTCCACTCCGTCTATATATAACTGGTAAGGCTACTCCAGTTTAGGCTGCATAGTTCAGAGATCCAAACCTTTGATGCTATTTGCATTATTACCTCACAGGTACTTTCCCCAGACCCAGCATTGGCACTCATATCCTTGGAGTGTGGGACCAACTTATCTATCATGCAGAAATCTCTTGTGCTCATGCTTCTTGCAGAAGCCAGACTGACAGTGGCTGACCATTGGAAGTCCAAATCATCTCCTCCTCAGGAGTGGTGTCTAGCGAAAGTATGGGACACTGCATTATCAGAACACCTGACATAAACCATAATGGTTCATTGAAAATACCGGTAGATCCTTTCTACTCAATATGGCATAAGTTTTTTTCCTATGCTAACTCAACTGAACAGCCCACTTGTTTTACATACAAGTATGTGGAGAGGTTTTATTGAGAACTTAATTGACCCACCTTTTTCTCCTTGCGCAACAACTGAAAGTGGCATTGTAATTTCAGTCGTTTATTGGTTTTTACTCCTCCTCTGTATCTGTGTTTTATTTTTTGTACTTTTAAATCTATTTTTATTCACCATATCCATAATTTTTATTGTATTCTGTATGTGTTAATGCCAATAAACTTTTAATTTTTAAAAAAAGGAACTCAAAGAGGGTAACAAGGGTTAATAGGTAAATGGGGAGAAGTACTGAATTTCACATGTGGGTTTGAATTAACATGTTGGTTTGTAAGCTTGGATTGTAAACTTCTAATTAACAATGAATTTAAAACAAGAGTTGAAATACCTTAAGACAGTTTCCAGTGTGCAAAAGTTTCTTCAAAACTGAACCTGAAGAGTAAAAGAAAAAATACAGTAGGAAATGATGTCTTCAATCCACAAGTGAGTTCATGATGGCTGTTTATATACTAGCCCAACTGTGCCATACTCCAGGATAAGGGTCATGACAAAGGAGGTGTGTTCCATATTTTCCATTGGCCACATCAGCCTAAGGAGTTAAAGAACACACCAACTCACACCTGGTCAGCTATACAGCTTTATTTCAGATATGGAGCTTCACATCCCTGCTTCCACCTATGTTGTAGATTTCTTTTACTGATAAGTAAAGCCTTTCAGGGGGGCTTCACTCCTGGGGCGCGATTCCGTAATTCCTTCTCTGCAGGTTCCAATCCTCTTTTCCACTCCAGTCTTCTCAGAAGTAAATCCCAAACTGCAGGGACAGTAAGACCTTCCAAAGTAACCTTGGTGTTCTGGAGGAACCTCTCACTACAGTGTCTCTTCCCTCAATGCCTGGCTTAAGTCCAGAACTCCTATGCTTCTGCAAGGAGAGGGGCTGGGTAAACCCAGGAGGCTGCAATTCCATTTATGGTCCTGTCCAATGGGGCTTAAGGGGATAGCCTGCAGGTGACCTCTGGCAGGGGGGTGAGAGCCAAGTCTTCCCAATCTCCTTGGAGAAGCCTTACTAAGTTTAGGGACTGCCTATTGCAACCTGTTCCCTGCATTGTGCCCTTCTTCAGCATGTTTTCCCACCCTCTGTTCTGCCTAAGGCATGACACCCAGGCTCCTTCCCTTCCATCAGTCAGATGATTGACAATGCCCCACTTTGCTCCTCCTCCTTCCGAGGTAGAGACTTCAGGCACTGCCCAAATGTGGTCTCTTCAGGAGCTGTTGCCTACTTGGCATCTGGTGATGTGATGGGCCAGCAAGCCTCAACATCTCTTCACAGCAACTTATTCTTACAACTTCCATAGAAATACTTAACATTTATATCTAGTTCTCAGAAACCACAGATAAGATGGCAATATTCTTTCTGCACCGTACCATTTCAAACTGCAGATGAGGGTTCACCCTCACCAGCATGCAGAGGAAATGTTTATCTGTCATTTGGAAGTTGAATTGAGTGTTAGGAAATTGATACTCGATCCTGACATGACGTAGGTGCCACTGTCAGGCAATTTTTCTGTCCATTGACAAAACAAAAAAAATTCCTTCCAGTAGCACCTTAAAGACCAACTAAGTTAGTTCTAGGTATGAGCTTTCGTGTGCATGCACACTTCTTCAGATATCTGGCAACTTCTGTTTCAGTGTATCTGAAAAAGTGTGCATGCACACGAAAGCTCATACCTAGAACTAACTTAGTTGGTCTTTAAGGTGCTACTGGAAGGAATATTTTTTTGTTTTGACTATGGCAGACCAACACGGCTACCTATCTGTAACTAGTAATAACTAGATTACTTATTGCAATGTTTTGGTACTGCGACAAATTACTGCTATTAATATTCCATATTTGATTTAAACTAAATTATAGTACACCTGTATCCTATCAGGTTTCCTGGAAACAATCTTTTCTAAGTGGCATGTGAGGAAAAGTAGCAAAAAGCAGGAAGAAACTGTCGTCAACACTTGCTGCTGCTCCTGATCTTCCCAGGTGGGCTGAGCTCCTCTTCTCCCTCACTGAGGCCTCAGTTCACCTTTCCTATGCCAGAGCAGCAGGACCAGCTGCTCTGAGTGGGATTATATCAGCTGGGCTCTCCTAAGCCTACCTGCTCTGAGTGAAGTGACAAGAAGCTGACAAATTCCAGCTAGGCCTCAGAAGTACAACTTCTGGCTGTACTACATTCACTTCCAAGAAACTTGGGTCTCCATGATTTTTCAACTCAGAAGCCACCTGGACCTCAAATTTCCATCCAAGCTGGTCATTAAGAAGACCAATGAAGCATTAAAAATTTGGGACTGTGTTGTTTTTATTGATTTGTAAGCTGCTCAGAGCTTTTCCTACTGAAGGGTGAAGTATAAATGCTTTGAATGCATTAATATATGTTTAGAGACAATAATAAATGGTAGTAATAAGAAAAGAGTACCATCTAGCTCCATTAAAATCATTTGACATTTGTACACTGGCTTTAGTGAAAGTGGAGAAATGTACCACAACTTTTAATAAACTGAACTAAACTTAAAAAAAAATCTTTAAAAAATATATAATTAAAGCCAAACCTCACTTACCTATGCTGTGGAAATGCCACCGATAGAAAATTCTTTCTGGAAGTAGTTGTAATATTTTCTGGAGAACACAGATAATTCATATTTTATATCATATTGACAAAACAGCTACTTGGCATCTAGTTTACATCACTTAAGTGCAATACAGATTAGGGTTTTTTAGGGAGGGTCAACACTGTCAAATAATTTCTTTTAGACTTAAGCCTTCTGTTGACATGGAAAGAATCTCTTCACCAAAAGTATAAGAATCTTGGCAGACACTTTACCTCTGGAATTTACAACATTGCTCATAATTATTCATTATTGATCATTGTTAAGGAAAATCAGTTAAAACAAGCAGTCAACTGCCATGTGTTTATGCTTTATGAAGTAGCTAGTACTCAAGCATTGTAAATACTTATGTTCAAGCAGCTCTGGCAATACATAATCTTAATGACAGATGACAATTGGTCTCTCTCTCTCTCTCTCTCCCTCCCTCCCTCACACACACACACACACACACACACACACACACAATTCATGCATTGCAGGAGGTTGGACTAAATGACCCTTGAGGTCCCTTCCCTTCCAACTCCACAATTTTATGATTCTATTAGCTATATTTTTCCCAGAGAGCTATTAAGAAAAAACAACTGTCTCATTCTACTTCTAAGTAGGTTGGGCTCTGCTCTACATTACAAGCTTTTCCCCATTAAGGCTGGCTCAAGACATTTTGCTGCCTGCGGACAAAATGACACCCACTCACTCCCCATTGAGTGGCCAACTGGAATGGCTGCTGAATCCTAGTTCAACACTAATAACAAAGCACTGCACTGCTCCTGAGAGGGTTTAGCAGGGTAGAGGGCAAGGTGCTTTGACATACAGCTCTTTCTCCAACAGAAGGGTATGGTCAGGGAGCTCAGGAGGAAAAACTGAGGCAGCGGCAGCAGGTGGGTATGTAGAAGAGGTGGTGGGTGGGTGCAAAGGAGGCATAGGCACAGGGGTGTAGCATGGGGGGAGCTGCCGGGGCGATGGCCCCAGGCATACTTTTATGGGGGTTGCTGCTCACACTGCCCTACCAGCCCTGTGCTGCTTTGAAAGGCTGGGATCGCAAAGCAGCTGGGGGCTGGCAGGGCAGTGGGAGAAGGATGCAACAGCCATGAACCCTTGCGTCCTTCTCCCTGCCAGCCCTGAGCCACTCTGGAAGGGTGCGATCACCCCAGCCTCACAAAGTGGCTTGGGGTGGAGTTGCTCCAGTGGTGTTGGCGGCAAGGGCTGGGCTGGCGGACTCCATTCACCCTCCGCGCCCTGTCCTGGGTGCCACCAAACCATGCCCTGCCACTGCAGAGGTGTGCATGCATGAGGAGGCAGATGGGCATGGAGGAGGTGCAGGTTGGTAGGTGAAGAGGAGGGGGCGGCAAGTGGCAACGCTCCTCAGAGGCCACAACTGCCGCCTGAGGCGATGGCCTCACCTCGTCTCATGGGTGGGCCAGACCTGATTTGGAGTATGATTTAGCTGAATATCACCCACTGTCAGTATGCTATGCTTGTATCCTTAACACATGATTTTGCACACTTTGAGCTGACAAGAAACATATGCCTTAGGCATTTGTGTCTAACAAAAGCGAAAGACCTCTTCCAGTATGTATATATATATATATATGGCAGTGAATTCCAAATAGCTAGTGACATTTTGTTTTTATTTTTAGAGTAAAGATATACAAAATAACTTAAGAAACCCCATGGTGCAGAATATTCCTTTTTATGCTGTACTTTATTCATATGGAAATCCATTAGTCCACTTGAAATAGAAATTAGGTATTATGTCAAAGAAATACATCAGGGGATCTGTCAGTTCTTTGATTCATAGGCCTCTTTCCTCCAGGCTACTGCATGACTAAGAATAATGTGAAGCATAACTTTGACATAGACAAGCTGCTCTGATAAGCAGAGGAGTTTTTTTTAAATCTTTAAAAAAATTAAATGTGAACATATTTCTTACCAGATGATACTTCATTTAATTACAGATAATCTAAAGCATTTAGATGTTATGCTAAGAAGAACTGCAATAATCCTCTTTTCCCATATCCAGCATTTTGTGGCCATCCCCAGTTTGGGTTAAAATAAACCCAAATACATTATTAAAACTTCAGCAGCAGCCAACCTCAGACTGAGCCTTAAACAGAACCACAGCTTAAATGCCGTTAAGAGAAACCCCTTTAGTAGGAAAGTTCCCTGTCTGCTTCAACAGCCATGATGGCAGCACAGAAAACTGTGGGTCCACTGGGGCCTCTGAGCTGGAGTCCTTGGAATCAGGGGAGAGCAACACACATTCCTCAGGCCAGACAAAATGCTTGCCCCACAGCTTCCAGGACAGAGGCACACTTGTGGTTTGCTCTAAGGGCAGGACCTCTCCTATTCCAATTCCACCTATGAATTCACCACCTCACCACTGAAGATTGTGAGTTGGACTGTTGGTTATAACACCCATTATTTGCACCCATGTTATGTGAATAGGTGTACTATTTTAGGTTTCTTTATTTAAAATGTTTTTACCCTACCATTTTATTTATAAGCCATTCAAAGACAGCTTACAAATTTGAAATATAACATTATAATTATTTACAATACAAAACTAACATTAAATAACAGCTCAGATTAAAATAATAGAATCATTTTACAGTAGCATCCTCCAGATTAAACACTTAAGGCCTGAGGACAATGTCCTGTGTATAGAGTGCCATGACTGGTAAGGCACTTCCTCTGGTACCTGATCCTTGATACTGGGAGCTCTTGGGAAAGGGTCACAAATGACCATCTTTGTAATTGTGCATATTTGTGTTAGAGGAAGTGAACCTTTACATATCTAGGCTGTAAACTGTATAGTGTTTAGGATTAAAACTACAGTCATACCTCATGTTACGGACGCTTCAGGTTACGTGTTTTCGGGTTGCAGACCGTGGGAAACCCCTAAGTACCGGAACGGGTTACTTCCAGGTTTTGCCGCTCATGCCTGTGCAGAAGCGCTAAATCATGCTTCGCTCATGCGCAGAAGTGCCAAATCGCACCGGTGCCTGTACAGACGCGGTGCTTCAGGATGCGAACGCTGCAGGTTGCGGACGTGCCTCAACCCACAACCCAAGGTTCCACTGTAGCACCTTTGAATTGTGCTTGGTAACAGACCAGAAGCCAACAAAACTATTTTAAAATTGGCAAAATGTTCCATTAGTTCAGTTTCATTCAATAGCCTAACAACTGCATTTTGGACCAGTTGTATTTTCAAGTTAAAACTGCTTAATTGTTATATCACTTGTGGATTGAATTGGCACAAGTAAATGTTACCACACTACATATGTCGGTTGGCTTACCAATGCCAGGGTGTCTGCTATCTGGGTATTTTTAATGAGTGGTCAGGTCTATATGTAGGATAACCCTTCATACAACTGATGAAATGGACTTTAGTCAACAAAACCTTAAGACAAAAGTCATTAGTTTTTAACATGCTACAATAGTGTTATTTTTGTTTCAAAGTACAGGCATCCCCCACTTACGTGCATTCTACTTGTGTGCAACCATATATACACGCAGAGCTGGGAAATAAATAAATAAATAGAATCATACCAGGAAATGTCGAGAGAGAGCGCTAGAGAGTCCATGTGGCTTGCCAGGAGCCCTTCCCTGGGGCCCTAAGAGGACATCAGTGAGGGTGGAGGAAGCTCTGAAGAGACCTGAGGCACAGCAGGCCTTTGTTTAGGCTGCCTACTTTCCCCGCCTAAGAGCTGATGTGTCAAGCAGCACAGCAGTCGCAGTTTTTCGTCCTAAAACTGTGTGTCTTGCAGGAGTTATAATACCATTTTATGCAAAAGGTCGGTGCTAGCTGCACTGAGGGATTGAGGATGAGAGAGAAACTTGGTGAACATTAAGACCCATGCCCCATTATAAGAGAGGGACAGGGAAACTGAAAGATTGGTGAGCGAAGTGTCTGAGGACAACCTGAGACACCAGCTTCTACGTGTGAAGCACTGGATAGCAAGTGGCGATTGAGAGCACTGTAAACCCACACGCTTTGTGAGGCCATCTGCACTTTCTTACTTGGGGGAATTCTTAGCTCTCCAGTGATATTCTTCCCATCTTTCTGCCAGGGCCAGTGGTTCCTCTGAAGCAGCTATGGTTAAGGTCAGGCATGAGTTGTGCCCTTGAGATACACCACACATTTACTTTTAATGCAAACAGAAGAATTATTCATCTCGGAGACCTAAGATATTTAAAGCTAATTTGTGAAATGTTATTAACACCACTCACACATAAGCAAGTATTTCAAAATGTACAATAATTATGTAAATCTGTTTACTCATCTGGGATGTAGTTCAATTCTGATTCCAGATGCCAAACATTAATAATCCTAATTAACTGTTTAACTAATTAAAATAGAACATGGGGGAAGTTTTATTCCTGCTGACATAGGATGAAATATGCCAACCAACCAACCAACCAATTAACTTAATTTGCTAGGGTTTAGAAACAAAAATGTTTAATTCAGATGACATTTACACTGTTTCTCCATCCCGCATTTGCTCTGAAGGATCCATAATGGGTTTATAACAGCTCCTTTCCAAAGGACAATTCTAATAATAACTATAGGATAATACTATTAATTTATCAATTATTTTTTAACTGCTGGAAGGAAGCATTCAGGTTACACAGGATTTCTCTTTAGGCTGAATGAATGAGCAAAACTAAACACACATGTCAGATGGTTATGGCAATAATAACCTGTCTGCAGATTTTTGAAAGGGGGAAAAAAATGTAAAAAATGAAGCAGCCACCATTATGAAATCATTAGGCCTTGCTGAGAGGATTCAAGTAAATGCCTTCTAAGTATTAAAACAGACTTTTAAAGCCAAAAGCAATATAACTAAAAAGTAGGGGCATGCATCTAAAACTATTCAGATTGTATCACAGATTGTATCACAAACCCTTTGAAGTAGTTAAAGCAAAATAAAGTATTTTATTATATGTTTTTTACAGTATTTGCGTACTGTATTTCAGATGACTGTTAAAGCAGTTTTTTATAAATTAGGGAACTAACACAAAGTTCAGTTGGACTTAGGCTCCAGAGGCACTTTAGGCCAACCAACATATGTGCACTTCTGCAGCTTGAGGGTTCTTATTGGGGCTCACTGTGCTGTTCCAAGCTGACATGTAAGGTAAAGGGAAGAGTCGTAGTTCTGTTAGCAGGAGTACCAATAGATTCTTTTCGGCACAGTACTCTATACGTAGAATGTGAAAAGGGGACACACATTTGTATATACTTTGTGTTATATGCAAATTTGAATCTTCTTTCGCAAGTGGTGTACAGAGCCAAAAAATAAATAAGTGGCCACAAACAAGAAATAATTTTTCCCTTAATAATATTTCCATACTAGAATTTCTGCCTGCCAAACCGCTGTTATAAAGGCAAAAGAACCCTGCTCTCCCCCCCCCCCTGCTAACCCCAACCAAGAACAAAAAACTAAAGTTTCATGAGGTGTAAATTGGCTGTGCTACTGTAGATCAGGAATTGGAAACCTGTCTCACTCTGGATTATGTTGGGCTCCAAGTATAAACTGCTGAAACCAAGACGGCTGTCAGGGGACTGCCATCAGAACAGGGAAGGGAGGCAGAGGGGCAGTGGGGATACAGGGAACCTCCGAAAATCTTGAGAAGCAGTTCCTCTTCCTGTGGTGGGGAAAGCCACACCTCCAGTGGGGAAGAGGGACCAGAGGACGCTGCTGGGAGCCCCAGTGCCACAACTCGTCAGTCTGAGGGTGGGGAAAGCCACACCTCCCAGGTAAAGGAGGGGACAGGGCTAGAGGATGCTGCTGGGAGCCTCGGCACTGCTCCTTGCCCAGCCGTCCAGGAGGGAAGCACGCCTCTTCCGTCGCCCACCTTGTGCAGAGGTGTAAAACGCAAAGGAAGGAAGGAAAAGGCTGGGGTGACTAAGCTCTTATGTTGGGGGAGGACCCGGAAACGACCACTCCCAGATTCTGCTAGCGATTGAGGCAGACATGAACTGATGGCTCTGCACTGTAAATAGTTTTGTGCCCAAATAAAACCTGTTAAAGACAGGTCGGAGTCCTGCCTGGTTACTCACAAGCAACCACCACTGACATCTGACAAGGGCCAATGGTCAGGGATGATGGGAGCTGGAATCCAGCAATATCTGCAGGGACACATGTCTCCCATCCCAATACAGAACATCCATCATCTGAAGTAAGGGAAACAGTACATGAAGTGCAAAGCTAGGTATGGTATTTCAGATGGTTGGTTAGTGGTGATTAAAATAAATTTACAGCAAGAAAGGTTCAGATGTCCATTCTTAGATAGATTCAAGATTAAACTCCTTAAAAGCAAGAATCAGGTATTATTTATAGTCAAAATAACTACAGTAATGCAATCAGCACAGGTCAAACAGCCACCGTTTTATTTGGTTTTTTTTAGCAAAATGAGTTGGAACCCTTAATAAAAATATATCCTGTTGTTGTCATTGTTATTTATTTACATCCCGTCTTTTTTCCGGAGAGGAACACAAGGTGGCTTACAGATAACAACAACAACAACTAAAAACCCCAATCAGGCTCATTTGCTAGGTGGGAAAGAGTGGGATTATTTAAGGTCAGAGACTTCTACACTAGTCAAAAGCCCCTTACAGCTCCAGAAATAAAATTTATATTTAAAGATATACCATGTGGCTAGATAGACATTCCAGGATCAAATCAGAAACTGGGACGGCTTCTGTAAATCTGGGACTGTCCCTGGAAAATAGGGACACTTGGAGGGTCTGGATTATACAGAATTAAACGTAACACATCCAGCCTTTGCTACTGGCTAGGCAATTTGCCTGGTTCTCTAGTGCACATGTGGTGGTTTGGCCCAAAAATTATTCTCTTTTGGTAAGTTTTTCAGGCAATTAATCAAATGATGGGGCAATTGATACAACCAGACCCAAAATGAGCTGTAATACCTTATTTTACTTCAAATTGAGAACATAACAAATAAAGACCTCATCCTCCATTTATTAGCAGCAGCTAGATTTGAGATTGCAAAAATATTGGAAAACTTTAACTGCAAATCTTTTTGAAGCCTGGATTTTGCAAGTATGGGACATCATGCTTATAGACAAATTAGCTATTTCAGAAAAGGAATATTGATCTTGGGGTGGGAAAGACTCACACCTTCTATATGACATGGTATCCTTTTTTGTTTTTATTAAAACAATCAAATATGGTTTTCACTCTCCATCAACTCATAGAACCTTATGGAGAGATACTTTCATTTGATTGCCTTTCTTGGAACATCTAAAACTACAACCATCAGCTGCTATTTTTCTTTCTTTTCTGTAGAACTATTAGGCTCTATTTTCCTTGTATGGGTATGTTTTATTACTTGAAATTAAAAAAAAATTAAAACAACAACAACAACAAAAATCATAGGGGGGGACCATAATGAAAAAAGAGTAACAGAATTCTCTCTCTCTCTCTCTCTCTCTCTCTCTCTCTCTCACACACACACACACACACACACACACTTAAAACATACAGATCAGTACAATAAAAATATCACAGCACCAGCCCTTTTCTAAAGCCCTGTTGGAACAAAGAAGTCTTTATCTGCTGGTGGAAGGACAACAAGGAAGCAGCCAGTTTAACTTCTCTAGAAAAGGAGTTCCAAAGTCTGGGAGCAGCCATCAAAAAAGCCCTCTCCCGTGTCCCCACCAAGTGTGCCTGTGAGGGTGGCGGGACCAAGAAAAGGGCCTCCACAGAAGATCTCTGAGCCTGAGTAGGTTCATCTGAGGGAAAACAGTCTTTAATTGGGAAAACAATTAACCCCCTTTCCCCTATGTTGCTACTAGAATCCATGTGAGAGCTCCCCCAAACCTATTTTCTTTAACCAAACCAAACCAAACCCACTAACACTACCACCAAGAAACTGGATGAAAACATTGGACTGTACTTCATGGTTGTCATACACTACTGTCTATCAACGCCCACCCCCTTTGCAGGGTTTTCATCTAAACTATAATACCATCTCCACTTTGCAACATGGATTTTATTTGCATTAGCAAAGCAATTTTTAAAATGTTTATATGTTGAGACAAAAAATCCCACATTTTTACCATGAAATTAAACCTGAGTTAGAAATAGCACAAACACCCAAGCTTTGCTGCTACCTTTTGCTTTGGGGCAGATATGCTACTGCCCAGTCTAAGCTACACTACAATCATGAATTTTCTAATTACTTTCTGTGTACAACAATCACTTATAAAGAATAAGCAAATCCCTTCAAAATGAACCAGGTGTGGGGTGGTGGGGGTGGTGGCTTGGTTTCCAGCCAAGGTGAACCTGTGAAGCTTGTCCTCCCTGGTGAATTATGCTTTTTAGAAGCAGAAGTGACCAACTAACAGTGACACATCGAAGCCAGAAGCACACTCCCTGTTTCAGCACAGGCCAGGAGTTCTTTATCCATTAGCTACAGACAGCTCTTTGGTCTTTCAGACAAGTATGGAGAAGGGCCAAGTGCCTTGCAAAAATGCCAATCATCAATCACAGCTCTTACTTCAATCATTGACTAAAAACACTGAAGTGGAAGTGGCTCATCTCTCAAAAAGCAATAGCCTTGAATGGTGCCTACAGATTTTGCCTCATAGCTTTTGCTCTACAAGAGTTAGAAACTCAATGCCCTTGCAGGACAGACATAAAATGCAGGGAGTCTTCTAATCCCACCTCACACTTCCAGTTAAAGTCACTGGAAGCGTGATAGGGACTAGATGTCAGGCTATTTTTCTTTAAATCACTCACAAACTGAATGTGAGAAAGAGAGGGTCTGCCCACAATTTAAAATAGAGGAAAATAGCCATAAATCTCACTTTACAGTTTGTGGGGAAATAAATGTTTGTCAGAAATGTAACTTATTCACTATATTCATGAAGGAACCATAATGTTGAGTAAGTACTGAAATGTGATAACTTACTTCAAAAAGAAAGAGAATGGAGTCCAGCTCCTCCCTTTGTGACTTATTCCCTGGGAGAAAAGGAATGTTTCCAGTCAGTATGGATAAATACAAACACTACTCTCTTAATAAATCCCATCAGACTGTTAGCTTTCAAATTCAGTGCTCTGCTTGCATATCTACTACACAAAAGTATGCAACAGTACGAAGGAGCAGTATTGTAAGAATACAGTGTCAGAAAAAAGTTAAAGATAAATCTAAGCTTCTTTCCTTCAACCGTTTGCTCTAATAACTGACAGCCCACAAAAAGGCTCTCTGTCACACACGTTATGTCTTAAGGAATATTTAGTGAGTAGAGAAACTGGGATGTAATGGGAAGCAAAATGAAGAGGAGTCCAATATTCAGGAGAAAAGGATACTGGCCTGGTTTTCATGACATGGTAACTCAAACTATGGTTTTCCAGGACTGTGAAAATGTTCAGGTTCCCTGGAAGCCTTGCTCTTCCCTGCTCCTTTTTGCTCCCACCCAACACTGAGCAAGGTTCTCCAAACTGGGTCTTGCGGTTAAGCTCTCTCCTCAGCAACCATGAGAGCAGTAGCCAAAAACAAACTACGGTATATATTAAACTTCCTATAGCAGCATACAGTCTATCCCTAGACCAGCCATACTTTCCTTTTTAATAAACTGAAGTAGAATCGTAGAATTGCAGAGTTGGAAGAGACCACACTGTCATCTAGTCCCATCCCCTATAATGCAGGAATTTTTTGCCCAATGAGGGGCTCGAACCCACAACCACGAGCTTAAGAGTCTCCTGCCCTACCAATGAGCTATCCTAGGCCCATGTTATCTTGTTGTTTTGAAAAAAGATATACCACTTAACGATTCTTCTCAGCAAATTAAATTCTTGCAAAACTCACTCTATATAGTATTTGTGTTTGATAAGTTTAGATATTTACATTTCCTCATGGGTAATTTAAAAAGATATAATAAGGACTTATTTGTAGCTGAATAGGATTTATATTTTATCAGAAATTTTTAATGGGGTGCCAGGACTTGGAATTGGAGGCTCCTATACTCCTCCTTATCAATTTAACCTGTCTGGTCCCAGGGCTTTGTTCAGCCACAGGGCAGCAATTGATGCAATCAAAATAACTGAGATAATTTAACAAAAGTTTTACTGAAATGCACATAAACACTTAAAAATGAATACACATAGGTCACACTTCCTAAACACTTCCTATGTAAAAAATCACTTATCCAAACACGAGGAATTAGTACCCCAAACTCACTATACACACCACATATTCAGATATATTAACAGAAAATATTTTTTACTTCCTTGTTTCACTTTTGCAGGTTGGCTGAGGAATGGAGAGAGAGGGACAGAGGGGGAGCAATCAGACAAATCAGAGAGCATTTTTTCCATCCTCCTTGTTTGCCTTTTAATTATTTACTGCACTATATTAAACTCTAGTGATCTGTACTTCAGTACAGTTTCAGAGGGTTTTCCGGGGGGGGGGCAGGGGGGCTTTGGAAGTCAAAATGTTTGGAAGTCATGAACACATTAGAAATGTCCCCATAGGAATAAGTAGAAATCATTGATTTGTTATGCAAATGCTTGTCTAACGAACTATTTCCAGAGAACACATTGTGTTTGGATAGCGGGACCTGTGTGTATTAAGTACAATCACACAAGTGTGTAAAGGGAATGCAAATAAAAGTATCTTACACTTCTAAGGACATATTTTAATAGCAAAAGTTTTGCCTCCTTTTTGCAATCACATAAAAATGTGTTTGGGGAGGGGAAGATGTGCTTCTTGTGCATGCTAAGCAGGGCTACTACATCTTAATAAACTGTCACATACTACAAATAAATAAATACCTTTTTTTTTTTTAGCCCCAAGCTAGATTGAGTGGTTTAAATGACTTGCCAGGAGCCTCACAACCAATTTTTTCATGAGCTGACAACAAAGTTTGAACAGCTGCAACAAAGTTTTCCAAAGGATGATGGTGCTAGCACTTGCTGTTAGGTTTGCTGAACTTTCCTAACATGTGCGAAGATACTATGGAGCATTTGAGGGCTTTACATCCTTTAGCTCTTACACAGATGGATGCTGAAAGGGGAAAATGGCTGTTTTAAACAACAACAGAGGTTTAAATAAAGCAGGGATGAAGAACACTTTTTAAAAAATTTGAAACAAACCAGTTTTAACGAGGAGAAATAGAGATGGCTGACACCAAAAAGTAAACACAACAGAGCCTCTCCAATCTGTTCTCACTGCACTCAAACCTTATTTTGAACTGCCACTTCTCTCTGCTCAGTATCATGCACACTTGCTCTACTCTGCATTGTTAAAAATCGCCAGTCTTCCCCTCTGTTTTTCCTGTATTGCTCCAGTGCCACGGCCACTGCTGTTTGGCAACCTGCCTTCACTTTGCCCCGCCCACCCAACTCTGATTCAGGCAAATTCAGGATTGTGATGAGGCACCACATGTCCTCCAATGTGGGCTGTGTGGTGACATTCTTACACTTTTATTATATAGAGATATGCCAAGGAGTGGATTTTGGGGTCTAGTATGTATACGTCAGTATTAAGCAACTTAAAAGAATATACTAACAAACAAAGCCGCTTAAAATTCTTACCTTTTTGTTTCAAGCTAGTTTCCAGTGTTATGAAATTTTCATAGAAGATAAAATAAATCTGAGAATAGTTAATCTCAAAAAACTGTTTAAGTTCACTTCCCTCTATAGCATCTGTAAAAGTAAAAAACAAAAGGTGTGAAAAAGGAGAGCAACGTCAGCATAGAAATTTAGAATTAAAACCTCTACAGAAAAATGAAGCAGCAGGAAAATAACACTAGAAGTATTAATAGAAATACATGGTACAATGTATAAGGTGGCAGTGCTTCAAATGGCTTGATCTTAAACACACCTAACATTCAAGACTTCAGCTATTGAAGTCACATACCGGTAATCTCTTTGCAACCTCCTGAATAAAATAAATGTTACCTATTTTTAAGCCCTTATTCTAGATCCTATAATCAAAGTTTCATCTCATATCACTATACTGAAACTATAGCCACTGGTCTGCTTGCCTTAGATGGATAAAGGCCTCCCCTAAGCAACCATGCAGAGAAGCTATTATAAACTGTAAAAGGACCACTCTTTCCTTCAGATTGCCAATATGTCACAAAATATTGACAGATATATGCAGATAGGCAAGCAAATAAGAAGTTTGTAAGCTAGTCACATTTGTAGACTTATTGGCAAGACAGTCTTACCCTGACCTTAAGGTGAACATTCAGGTAATCAGAAGTTTATATAAATAGAAAAAAATGTAAATCCTCTTACATCCCTTCCAGTGAGATTGGAGTGCACAATAAGTTTATTTTCATGTGTATCTCCCCTATTAGATCAAGAACCATTCACACAAGATGGCGTTGTGCAAGTGGTTTCCAGGCTGGACAACTGCGACAGGCATCAATACACAGTCCCACATTTCCCAGCACTGGATCAGAAATTATTGGTACTTATGACCTGTGGAGAAACTAGGCTGCTGTATTAAGGTTCCTCACAATGCATTCACTTTATCATACGGCTCCATAACTGACTCCATCAATTACATCTTCTGAAGACACTTGCTCTTCATGCACTTTACTGTAGTGTGCCTTTCCACCATCACAGTACATCATGGACTAGACCAAGCTAATCTATGCACAGATTATGTGCAAGATGAGATTAGGCCTAATGACCCTTCACCAAATCCAACCCTATGACCACAACATACACTAACCATCTGTGTGATCTATAGAAGGTGGGGAGGACAGTGTTGGAGTAGTAGGGCCTTGAAGCCCAAGGTGTAAATGGGAAGAAAAGAACCATGTACACCAACTTAAGCAACATGGAAGGAAGGTAGGACATTAACATAATAAAATATATATTGTTGTATCGTTCCTTCTGCAGGAGGAAGGGTGGGATATAAATTTAATAAATAAAAATGAAAGTAAAAAAAAAATTACAGTTCAGTTTTAGGGAAATTATAACCCCGCTGAGCATTGTCCTGCCACCTTCTCTGCATTAGGAAAGAGATACTGCTTTGGGAGATTAAAGTGGCAGGCATGTGTACAATCTTCCAGTCAGATCAGACAATGCTTTGTGCCCAAGGCAGGAACACAGGGACATTGTCACTTTGATCCAACCTGCAACAAAACAATGGCCCAACTACTGAAATAAATTCTGTGTAGAACTTCCTTTAAAAATTATTCACTTATAACACAGCTGTACAACTTTGCAATGGATTCTGGGCTTGTAAGAACTGTTTCTTATTTCCTATACAGCTATAAGGGGGAGGGACTCAACATATTTTAGGCCATGGTCTCTCATATCAAGCTCCCCATTTGCAGCTACTGCCTTTTAACAAACCCTGTGCATGGTTTTGTAGACTGGAACTGTGAACCCAAAGAGCAATGCTCACTACAGATGCACAACCATGAAACATGCTCTCCAAAGAGGCTCATCTTCCTTGGCCATCCTTGCAACTGCTGGAAACTTAACAAAGGCTTGCTGTTCAAATAAATAAAATTAGATTCTACCACACAGTAGTTACATATGTACATAATAGTAAAGTATGATTTAGCATTACTGTAATAGCCTAGGAAAGCATCAGGTTCACAAGCTCCCCCCACTCCTTCTCACTGCGACTGCAAGGAGGAAGTTGGAAGCTTTCACTTACATTTTTTAAAAATAACTACAGTTATTACTCAGAAGCAGAACTAATTTGAACAATGGTTTATTTAACTAAACATCCATGTCTGGTTCGCTTATTTCAGTGAACCACAGTTAAGACTAGAGATGTCAAAAAACTCCACTACACATGGGAGTAGGAATTCCTGCAATTCACATGTTCATTTGAGGTCAGGAACAGAAATCATACAAGTCAATACAAGCAGTATTTGCTGTAATTTTTAGTCCTCAAACATTACATAAATGATAATTTTATTTACTGCATTGCTTCTTCCATTTCCCTTCCATCTGTGGCAAATGCACCCTTGGAACAGTGTGCTTCTCAATTGATAGGATTAATGCGAAGCATTTTACATATAGAATTGCAATTCCAACTTATATTAATTATATCAGCACCAGACATTCTCATACCAATGCTATATTTTTATGTTGTGAACTGCCCTGAGATCTACAAATGAAGGGTGGTATATAAATTAAATTTTAAAAAAATTCTATAACTGGCTCCAAGTTCACATGCAAGCCCAGGATATAGTGCAGATAATGAAATACAAAGTAAACACTGTGCTTGTATTAACTTTCCCCGCATGAGTATAAAAACCCATCTATATTTTGGTCACAGGCCCCAATTAAGACCATGGGGCCACACCTACCTGGCCTAGGGCTGGGCGATATCAGCTTTTCAACATCACACTGTATCGCTAGCTAAACATCGTGGTTGGGGGGAAAGTGCACTTGCCGGTGCCCGCACTTGCCTCAAGAGCTGAGGCGGTTTTACCCAGGCTCGCAGGCTGGGACAACGGAGCTAGTTTGCGCTGCTCAGCTGAGCAGAGGTAAGGTTCTCCCCCTCCTGCTCAGACAGGCCCAGTGCTCTCACCACTTGTGCATGAGCGATGAGAGCATCAGAGCTCCTTTAACTGCTCACTGCAGGGAGCGGCAACCATGCTCCCCTCAGCAGAGCAGTTTCACAGAGTCCCCGCCCCGCTGGAGACTCCTTTAAATGCTCAACTGAGGCAAGGGCATAGTCCTCAGTTAAGCAGTTTAAAGATGCAGAGGGAGGAACAATCTGTGTCGGCGCCTCATTGATACAGCTTGTTTCTCCCTCTCTGTCGTATGAGGGCAGAGTGGGATGGCGGTTTCACTCAGCACTATATCGCTGGTGAAACTGCTGCCGCACCTGAGTCCCTCTGCTAGCAGCGCCCGCTGGAGGAAGGATCTCTTAACCCCCTTCAGCGGACACTGCTAGCAGGGAGACTCAGGAGCGGTGGCGGTTTCACCAGCAATATACCGTTGAGTGAAGCCGACATCGCGGTCTGCTCCTCATAACGGTCCTGGGCAATATATTGATATATCACCCAGGCCTAACCTAATGTGACATCAGGTGAGGAGCAAGTGAGAATGAGCTGCCAATGCGCAAGCAGGAGCCTTCAAGTGCACTCCTAATTTGCATTGGTAAGGGAGATTTGTTGTCACCACCTATCCACTGAGCAAGACAGCTGGGATCAGGTGTAATAATACTGTGTTCCCCACAGGGAACTCCATAGCAAACTGATCCTTGAAGTCACTAAGTCAAGCAAGGATCCTTTGCAAGCCGCTTGCAAACAGCCCTACTTAGTGCTTTGAAGCAGAAAAGATCAGCTGATTGGTGGCACTTCAAAGCACTTTACAAACCCCATCATCTGGCATCATCATTACCTAGGCCACTGACAGGCGGGTGGCTCTGTCCAACTGTCAACTCTCACGTGCTCCATTGCCACATATTTGTACCATAGCTAAACTACATTTCCTATTGTTTTTATCAGTGCTCACTCTCGAGTTTGCAGTGTTTTATGTTTTGAATAGAAAGCAGAGGGATTTATATTCCTAAAAAATAATCCAAACGACACTGAAATTTTAGATAAGGCTGTTTGGGAACAAACGGAATGCATAGCTAAATACTCATCTTTATAAACAAATATAAAAACTGCGCCGAAAAAGATTATTTCCTGAGGGTAAATCAGATTGATTCTATTAAGTCACCCCACTGATTGAATGGATACAAGCCCAGACTTAAAACAACAACCAGATATTTAATTGCCTGAATAGGGCAAAACAATCAGACAAAACAATGGAGATTTGGAATAGGATCTACCATTTCTTTTGGGGACCCAGGGCAAATAGCAGCTTGGAAATGGGGATTCTCACCAAGGAAATAGCTAAGTTTCCATATTTATTTAGTTATTTCATAAACTTTATACACCACCTTATTGTCAAAAACCCCCCCCAAAAACCCCCAACTCAAAGCGGTTTACAAAAATAATCTCCACCACTCACTTGAATCCAAAAATCCGCTTGAGGGTCTGGTGGATGGAAAAGCTCACTGAAAAAGTAGTGCAGATATAATAGGAGCTGTTTCCTTTTCAATAACTTGAAGTTTATAAAGCAGCTGGGAAGTTCAGTGGGGCAGCTGCTGACTTGCAGTTTCAAATGAACTCAGATGAGCTGCACATACTTCTGGATGAGCCATCAGGAGTTAGAGAATTACAGGAAGCCCAGGTCAAGTATCAGGCAGGAGTCAGTCATATGAGAATAACATTACGTACTTGTTTTAACTGTTAACATAAAATAATTTGAAGAGCAAGCAAGGTGAACTGAAGTCATTGCCAAACTATGGGAACTCTTATCAAAAGTATTCTGTGCCAGAAAATTGCATGCTTTTATTTATCTATTATCTATTTTGTATTCTGCTTCAATTCATCCTTTGCAGGATGTACTAGGGTGGTACCGGACAAGGAGAAAGAATGTAGAGACCTTGAGGGCCATCAAGAGTATCAAGGCAGGAGTAATAATGGAAAAAAAGAAGAGTTTGTGCAAAACACTGGGGTTCATCCTGACAGTTAGAAGCTCTGCTAATAGATTCAACATTCTTACATGAACCAACAGAACAGACTGAATAATTCATGACTAGATATAAAAGGAGACAGACAGCACTTTTTCTGGGTTAACACATGACTAAGATGAGTTAATGGAACAAA